TTCTACTCTAAGTAAGCCTTCTATTAATTTTGTTGTTTTAAATATCTGAAAATGTTTGATTCCCAACTTAGTGGTTTGATTAGATGGGTGAAAAAGCATCCACCTCCTAAAAATCCTTCTCCATGTAATCATGTATGATCATGAAAAAAAGTTTCTACACGCTCTCAGTTCAATCACAACACATGACACTCAAATAAAATTTTAAATAAGGTTAATAAATTCATTTGCATGTTGAGTTATAATTGATCAAAATTATATAATCTTAGATCATTTAAAAAAAATTCATTTGTGAAGAGCGAGTAAATATTCATTGTGCACGAACACATTTAAAAGATTTCTTAAATCAAACATTGATTGAGAGAATAAAAATATAATTTAAGAGAGAAAAATTGAAGCGTAGGTTTGAAAAGGTAAAAGTATGGTTGCTTCTCATATTGATAGATGGATTTTTCGAGAACAAGGAATAGTTGTTCGGTTGAGAGAGGATGGATCCGAGTAAGAGAATATGAAATCATAAGCTGCCATATCTTATTTTATAATACTCCAAAACTTTTGGACTAGTTGGTTTTAACATTTTGTTAATTGTGCTTTTAGGTAACACTTTTAATATTTTAATGTGACTTGAGATAAAGTTAAGAACTTAAATTATGTCCATAATATAATTGATAAATGTGTTTGATTCACTTTTGATTAGGATGAATCCTTGTTAAGATAAAATTAAATATGGATTGACTCATTCCATTAGTGCGGGTTATAGAAATATTTAGATGGTCCTGGACAATTTGATACTTAGTGAACTAATTCAATAAAAATTAATATTGAGATTTCTTTGATGCATGTTCTTGTTTAAAGGATTAAAAATTCAATCTAAACCTAAGGTGAAAAACCTTAATTGAAGTGTGAGTTCAACCAAACCTCCAATCAGATGAACCCAACCCAAACCAAACTTTGAGCATATTTTTTGAATTCGGGTATGTTAGGTTTGATTTAAGTTTGGGTTAGGTTGGTTTGGGTTCAGTGAGTAAGATTTCAAAAAAATGTTAGTGTCACAATAATAATATAGGTAGAGTTTGGGCTGGGCTTAGATTACCAAACACCCCTACAAAGGGAACCCGATTTTTGACAGGGTTGAAAATACAGTAGAATTTGGGTTGGGCTTAGATAACCCAATACCCGAAATGAGCTAACCAGATCTGAAACACGGTTGAATATTTTCAACTTAAGCCCAATCCAAATTGGGGGCCTCTTTTGCTAATATATTTTTAAGAGCGAGAAAAAGGTAAAAATGATAGTTTAATTGAAAAGACGACGTTTCAAGTAGTCATATCGTTCTCCAACAGAACTGGGCTTGAAGAGGTGGTTAAGTCCTAAGTGTGAGAATTTAGTTATGAAAATAAAATAAATAAATAATATTAAAAATAAATATAAAATTTTGTTATTGTTGTGGAAATTCCACATAATATAAAAAATATATAAATACAGCATTCATACACAAAGATTCAAATTAATGAATAATAACACAAATGAATAATCAAAGAATAATTCTTCATTAAAAATGAATAGTACATCATTTGAACCATTTGAATATAATAATAAACATGAATCAATATAATATTAATATTAGTTCTATAATATAAGTTAAGAAGTAAAACGATAGTAATAAAATATGTAAGAAAGTGTTGGCCTAATTGTTGAGACATATGTAAACACATTGAGCTAAAGTTGATAGTCCTCCCCTTCTTAGCAGTGTCATTGCCCATAAACTCAATATATAAAATAGTATATAATAAAATATATAATACTTCTCTCTATATTTCTATATTTTAGATCAATCCCCTGATCTCTCAAACTGGTGGATACTTTATATATAGAAATAATATATAACAGCTAAGGTAATATGATGATAATTTACTATTGAAATAATAACTCTAATTTAACTACAATAATAATATTAATCATTATAAATATAAAAAATAATTATATTAAATATTATTTATGTTTTTATTAAAATATTTATTACATATTAAGTAGACACACAATAAACAGTTCTTCGCACGACGTGATGGGTTTTCTATTTGTTTGTGTTGTGTTCTTCTACAACTTGCTTGAGTTCCACTCACCGGATTTTGGGGTCTCTGATGACTCTGACATTCAATTCGTGCTCTCATATCTACCATGGCCTTGCGTTCAAATGTCGAATTCTTCATTGTATGTGTTTGTCTGTGTGTACTAATTTAAGTATTGTTTTTGAGAAATAATAATTTTTAAAAAGGCATATGAGATACATATTGCAAATTACCTTTTTAAATTATAAATATTTAAATTTTAAATTGAGACATATGAAAAGATAGGAAAAAAGAAGAATGGACAGTTATTTTGGAAAATCCAATGCAAAAAAAATGATCACAATTTTTGGGACGGGGAGTATCAATTACTGATTGATTGGATTATATATCTATCCACTATTGACTTGTAATTGATAATATTTACATGTATATCACGCAATGACTTGTATCAATTAGTGATTGATTGGATTATATATATATTAAAATGAAGATATTATTATCCGATATAATATTAATAACTAATTGACACTAAATATACCTAATATAATTTTGGAAATCAATGGGTGATTGAAGGATCACATAATGGATCACATAATCCATCTATGGATAAGGAGGAGACAACCATGTTAACATTCTACTAGAGAATTGCACATAAAAAAAAAAATAAAAGTTAACATTTTACTAGAGAATTGCACATAAAAAAAAGCTAATACCTTATCCTAAAATATAAATGAAGTAACCCTTATTTCTTATTGGAATATTAACTTCTGAATGTGTCTCAAGTAAACTTGGAGGAGTCCAGTAAAATGAAGATTAATAAAATTAGTATGAAGTTGCTAATTTGAACTATAGAGAATTTTAGTTACAAGTTCACCTGGAGCTTTCTTTTTTAATGACAATTTCATACCTTTTTCATTTACTTCATCATAGAAATGGTGTTTTTATACATGCATATGGCATTTCAAACACATGACTAATTCCTATTATTATTAGAAGGGCTTGCTCGATCAATATATAATTATTAACATGTATTAAACACTGTGCCAGGTCACCTTGAATTGAGCAAACACAGCGTTATTGTACATTTTTCTTATTAATATAACCCTTTACCTTCCAAAAAAACAGATATGGAAATATACCAATGTGCAAAACCGAAAATATACCATAGTATCATGAACTAAGAGAACAAAAATCGATTGAATCACCCTATAAACCCCTCTACAGGGCAATCACAATGATACCCACATCGCACTACAGTGTGGTTTTCTATTTATTTGTGCTTTCTTCTGCAACTTCTTGGAATTCCATTTCCTCCGAGATCTCCTCGCCGGATGTCAGGGGTCTCCTGTGACACAGACGTTTAATTCGTGCTCTCAAATCTACCATGGCGTTGCCTCCAAGTGTCGAATTCTTCATGGCAGGTATGTACAATTGTTGAATTGTGCGTGTTTGTGTGTGCATTGGGGATTTTGGGTGTCAATTGTCATTGGGTATTTTGTTCTTGAATTTTTCTTCTTTTTTTTTAAATGTCTAAGTTTATGTAACTATATATTTAACATTTTATTTTCTTACAATTTTATTTATTTATAGGTTATTAAAATTTGGAATGGTCTGAGAAATCAAAAACACATGTGCACTATGGTACATTGGTGGCGTGTTTGTGTGTGCATTGGGGATTTTGGGTGTCAATTGTCATTGGGTATTTTGTTCTTGAATTTTTCTTCTTTTTTTTAAATGTCTAAGTTTATGTAACTATATATTTAACATTTTATTTTCTTACAATTTCATTTATTTATAGGTTATTAAAATTTGGAATGGTCTCATAAATCAAAAACACATGTGCGCTATGGTACATTGGTGCGAGCTGATATATAGGTTGAGATATAATGGAATTTTAGGGACATGGATATAACGCGGGCTAAGATATTAAAACCTTTGATTTAGAATCAGTTAACTCCTTGGCTCATCCAACTCACCCAAGTCCCATCCTTACAAGAAACTAGAGCAATTCGTGTAGCAGATCCAATATGATCATTAGTTTTATATTATATTATATTATATATATTATATACACAATTTTTTTAATTTTTTTTTAGCTTTAACCCTCAACGGTACCCCCATTAGTCCTTTAAATGCAGTGGCCAGTAGTTGAATTATGGGGCATATTCAATTGCCCCGTCCCAAACGCATGGACCAATTACCTTATTAATACTATTGTCTTTCTATTTATAAATAATCAATTACACACAAAATGGTATAAAATGTTCCATGATTTGTGAAAAATGGATAACATACAAATATTTTGGTTTTTTCGATACTTGTGGCATCGAATTTCTTAAAGATTTTATATGGTTTAGGATCAAGCAATTATCAAGAATTTTTTTTTAAGATCTTCTAAAAAAGATTTGAACTATTAAATATAAGATAACAACAGTCTTGCCGATTTTGAATTATAACAAATGTTCCACTTTTTGTGAGGAATAGAATAAAATGGATATATTTTGTATTTTTCGACCATGGTTGCATCCCAAGTTTTTAGAGATTTCTTTAAGGCATAGAAAATCTTCATGGATCAAGCAATTATCAAAAAAATTTCTTTATGATGGTCACAAAAGGATTGGAACTACCAGATGTAAGATAATAGTCTTGTCGATATAGAATTATACAAAAAAAAAATTCTTTATGATGGTCACAAAAAAATTCCAACTATAGAATTATACAAGACATACACCGATTTCATGAGGCATAGGAAAAATCTTCATTCCGAAAATATATCAAGCAATTATTAAGAAAATTTGTTTAAAATGGTCACTACCAAATATAAGATAACAGTCATGTCGATATTGAATTACACAAAACATACATGGTAACAAATGTTCCATGATTTGTAAGGAATGGGATAACATGGATATTTTTTGTTTTTTTTCACAAGGCATGGAAAATCTTCAATCGAAAATATATCAAGCAATTATCAAAAAAATTTATTTAAGATGGTCCAAGAAAATTTGAACTACCAAATATAAATAACATTGTTGTCTAAAATGATACGATAAGAATACAATTATATAATACTATCTTAGTCCTACGTTCCCAAAAATTATGTGAGTGAGATATAGTAACATCGACATCATTATGATATAATTATTCACCCGTTTAAAATTGGGGGATAGATTTGAATTATTCTAAAAATAACGACAGTTAAATGTATTGAATTGGAATGACACGAGTTCTGCCTCAATACGAGATCGAAGGGTCATAAATAAGCCAAGTACTTCCTAGTACTTTTTTGAGGTATCTTTTCTTGTCCATAGTTTCTAAACAATATTCTTTATGTCAAACAAATAATTGTTTGAGAAAAGAGTATTAAAAGATGCCCTTTTTGACAAAGGTTATAAAAATCTATTTTCAATCATTAGATTAAGATGAATTTTTTTTTTTTTTTTTTTTTTTTCCTCAAATTCAGTTAAAGTGTATACTAATCTATCTCTATTCCCAAGGGGAACAAATTCATTGCAGTTAAAAAATACCCATGCATTATAATGGGTCTAAGATTCTCTTCCTTTCCCGGCAAAACCAATCAATTCAATCCAAACACATTATAGAATAGGATAGAATTTCTCTTCACATCGAGTGATATGATCATCGGTAGAGTCGGGATTTTACTATAATGGGACAACCTCCTTAAATTATCAAATAAAATAAATATATTTTTGAACAAAATAATAAATATAAAAAATTTAAATTTAGATTGATACATTCTATATACTATGTACGCATTTATAACATCATGAATAAGCATTCAATTTGTGAAATATGGCTTTTTATTAAACTTATGAAATTACATTTGGACCTGTAAACAGATCGGATTTAAACTGGATCAAACCTGATCCAATTCAAATCCGACAAGAATTTTAGTCAATCCAATTTGATAATCAAACGGATGTTTTGTAAGTCGATCCTCATCCGTTTTGTCAATAAACGGATATTTGATCCAATAATCCAATCCGATTCGATAAAATGTTGTTTCTTTTTTTTATACAAAAAAAGAAAAAGAAATATAAATTAATGCCAAAAGAAATTAAAAATAATAATGATTATAAGAAAAAGATATAAAATAAAAGATAAGTAACATATAAAATAAAAGAAAAAAAAAATATTTACTCTTTATTAATGAATAAAGAATATAGTATTACTAGTATGTATATTAAGAGATTTATTAGTATGTGGATGATAACACCACACTATTGTACATATAATATTATGATTTTTTATTTTTTTTATTATTATTTTTTTTGTGTTTTGGCTTACTCTAAATCAAATCTGATAAGAGTATTGATATATATATATATATATATAGGGAGGCATATTTGTACTCTACTTTTTAATATTTGCACAACAATCATGAAATGACAAGTCTAACCTTACCTCTACAAGTAAATAGTTATTACTTTTTAAATGACACAATTGCCCTTTCATATTTTCTCTCCTTATCTCTAATCTATAATATTTTAAATATCCTTTGACAACACAAATAAACTAAATAAAAAATTGAATAATTTTTTTTTAAGGGACCAAAAAAAAAAAAAAAAATTTTGTTATGTTGAAAAAATTGCCTCTTTTGATCGGATAAAAAAATAAAAAGTAACCATTTAAAAAATTAACTCTTCTGACACGAAGTAGGAAAAAAAAAAAAAAAAAACCCTAAAAAATATATTTATTGAATAAATTATCTCTGTTGTTAAAATCAACATAATAAATAAATAAATAAAAGTACAAAAGGAAGATGATTAAAAAAAAAAAAATAGTCTCTATTGAGTAAATTATATCTTTTGATAAACCTCCTCCCCCCGGCCCCCGCCCCCCGCTCCCACAAAAAAAAAAAGAAGTTTTAGTTTTATTGATTTCTATTGACAGGTCCCATACAAAATTACCAACAAATAAAGTTTCCTCTTTTGACAAAATTGAAAAAAAAGTCAATTTTGTTGAATAAATATCTCTTTTGATTGTACAAAAAAAAAATGTCACTATGGAATAAATTATCCCTTTTGACTTCCAACAATAAAATTATTAGTTTAGAATAAACTATTTTCTTTGAGAGGACCTCCGGAAAAAACAAAAAGAAAGGAAAAAAAAAATAGTAAATAAAGTAAAGAAGGTAAAAAAAAAAAAAAAAATTAAGTGGTATAAAATGTAGTTATGACATTATAAATTAAGGAATTGTGCATTAATGAATTCAAGGATTTTCTTGTCATTTCCTTTAAAAAAAATGATAATTAGTGCAACTGTAGAAAAGTGGAGTGTGAATATTGTCTCTCATATATATAGAAAATTTTATTCGAATCGGATTAGTATAATCCATATCCGATTTGTTAGGCTAACGGATTATCGAATTCGGATTGTAATCGGGTTATGACTTTTTTGTTCAATCCATAGCCGACTAATCGGACCGATCCGCTGTATTGACAGGTCTACTCTACGTCTCATTTGATTACAGTTAGTTGAACATTAGTGTTTAATTTTTGAAGTCCAGCATCCAAATATGATAATTTTTAGTGTTGATTTGGTTAGTATGTTAAAATAAAACAAAGTTAAAATTATATGAATTATCTAAACTCTATATTAGAAAAAAGATAAAATACAATATGTATATTACATGATATGGTCCTTTTGAGATTTAAATAAAAAAACTGAATAAAGATAATATATTTACCTGTAAATCTTGTCTAATGTCATTACTTATATCAATTAGAGACTGATTGGATTATATATATATATATATATATATATAAACACAACACACTTGTATATATATTCACTATCCACTAATGACTTGTATATTAATTAGTGATTGATATATATTTATTTGTATATCAAGTAAGGACTTGGATATAAATTAGTGAACGATTGGATCATATATGTACATATTAAAATGAAGATATTCTTACCCAATATGATATTAATTACTAATTGAATATTTTTTTAAAGGAACCCAAAAAAAAAAAAAAATTTGTTATGTTGAATAAATTGTCTCTTTTGGCCGGATAAAAAAATATAAAAAGTTACCATTTAAAAAATGATCTCTTTTGACATGAAATATATATATATATATATATTGAATAAAATATATCTGTTGTCAAGATCCCAAAAAAATAATAATAATAAAATATACAAAAGAAGATGATTATAAAAAATTATCTCTATTGAATAAATTATATCTTTTGACTCAAAATTCGGATTGGGCAAATAATTCGTGAATCCGATCCCTGTGGATCGGTGGCGGATTAAAAAAAATCAAATTCGTAACTCACGGAGCGGATCACGGATTGGGTTATTAAAAAATCAACCCGATCAGTGAGTCTGACCCTACCCGACCAGCTCATTGAGTCTGATTCGATTCGTGAAATTTATATATATATATATATATATATATGTATATATATATTTAAAATATATTAGTTAATGATAATTTAATGTATTTGAAGGATATATTTGTTAATAATTATTTAAATATATAAATTAATATTAATAAATTAAAATTTTATGTATGGGGCTAGAGTTAAGAGATAAATAAATAATAAAACTTAATTCACGGATTTATGTGAGATAATGGATCGGAAGCGAATTAAAAAAAATTTAATTCGTTAAGAGTGGATCGAATTAGAATTGATACTTGATCTGATTGGTCGCCACCCCTGCTTAAAATCTTCTGTTTTAGGAAAGCCAAAAAAACGTGAGCGTCAAGACATCACTTTCTCGGTTTTGCGCTTAGGCGAATTAAAATCTTCTATTTGTGTTTGTGTGAGAGGGCCCGCCGCAGGAAGATGATGTACACAGAATGGAAACCGATGAGAGGTCGAAGGAAAAGGCAAGACATCCTTTTAGACCATATTTTGACACCGGAAGAGTGCGTCGTGCAAAAAAAAAAATGTAAAATTATATAAAGAGTAATTATGATATTATTAATGAATTCAAGAATTTTTTTTGTTATTTTTAAAAAAAAAATTAATAAATATAATATAATTGGCAAAAAGTGGAGTGGAAATATTTTTTTCATATATTATTACCAGATAGGATATTAATTACCAATTGACACCTAAATATACATGATATGATTTTGAAATCAATATATTAGTGATCCATGCAAATCACATAATCCATCAACTGTGTTTACATTTTACTACAGAATTGCACATAAAAAGATAAAAGAAAAAATTAATAATAATAAAAAGAGTTGTGTGGGCCACTGGTAATAATTACATAGGGGATTTACTGATCGGGATTTACTGATAATCGAAAGTTGAAAAGTGAAATTAATTTACTATATATATATATTTGCACACGTGGTAATATGAGCTGTAAATGGGAATCTGAACTGGATAAGGCCAATACTACTCCCATGCAGTCCCTCAAAAACCCTTATAAATATTCAGGCAAACAACAACAGCTCTTAATCTAGTAGTACACAGTGAGAGAGAGGGTTTAGAGTAACAGATATACAGAGAGAGGTATATATATAGAGAGAGAGAGAGTGGTTAATCTGTAGTCATGGAGAGTAGTAACAAGCAGGCTTCGGCTATGGAACTTGAGAGCCACCGGCAATCACCACCGATGCCTAGCCCAGTTAAAAATATAATATTTGTGGCATCTATTGCAGCCGGGGTCCAATTCGGGTGGGCCCTACAACTCTCCCTCCTGACCCCATACGTACAGCTCCTTGGCGTCCCCCACACCTGGTCCTCCTTCATATGGCTTTGCGGCCCCATCTCCGGAATGCTTGTCCAGCCCGTCGTCGGCTACTACAGCGACCGATGCACCTCCCGTTTTGGCCGCCGACGCCCCTTCATCGCCGCCGGCGCTGGCCTCGTAGCCGTCGCCGTAGTCCTCATCGGCTACGCCGCTGACTTCGGCCACCTCTTCGGCGACTCCTACACTAAATCGCCGAAAACTGGCGCCGTCGCCATCTTCGTCATTGGATTCTGGATCCTCGACTGCGCCAATAACACACTCCAAGGCCCCTGCCGTGCCTTTCTTGCCGACCTCTGCGCCGGCAACCAAAGTAAAACCCGAATGGCCAACTCCTTATTTTCCTTTTTCATGGCCGTCGGCAATGTCCTCGGCTACGGCGCCGGGTCCTATACTAAACTTTACCGTATATTCCCTTTCACAAGAACCCATGCATGTGATCTCTACTGTGCAAATCTCAAAAGCTGTTTTTTTCTCTCCATTTTATTGTTACTATTCTTAACAATATCAGCCCTGTGTTTAGTACGTGAACAGCCGGTAAATACCGTTGAAGTGAAGGAGAGCAACGGGAAGGGGAGTAGGTTACCATTTTTCGGGGAAATATTCGGTGCGGTGAAGGAGTTAAAAAGGCCAATGTGGATCCTACTGGCGGTGACGTGTATTAATTGGATTGCTTGGTTTCCCTACTTGTTGTACGACACTGATTGGATGGGGAAGGAGGTGTACGGAGGGAAGGTTCACCAGAAGATTTACGATCGTGGTGTGCGTGCGGGTGCATTAGGGCTGGTGCTGAACTCGGTAGTGTTGGGGGTCATGTCCCTCTCGGTGGAGTTCTTGTCGCGTAAGCTTGGTGGCGCGAAGCGCTTGTGGGGTGTTGTCAACTTTATATTGGCCATCGGCTTAATGTTGATGGTGTTGGTCTCCAAATTGGCTGACTCTTCGCGGCGTTTCCCGCCCGGTGGTGGTAACGAGCCTCTGCCGCCTTCTGCCGGTATTAAGAGCGGTGCATTAGCTATATTTGCGTTATTGGGCATTCCTCTCGCGGTAAGTATTATAACATAGACTCTTGTCTTTTTATGATTAATTATTATGTAGTCTCATTAATCAAGATATACAAACAACAATTTGAATAAAATTAGTTAAAACCATTTATTTTTATAAAAAATTCCCTTTTTTCCAGACAAGTGGTTAATTTCCGTTTGTGCCAAAAAAGAATTTTGGGCTTTCCAGACATGATGTGAAGGTTTTTGTCATTAGTAATGGCTATTAAATTTGTGCTTAGCCTTTTTAATACTACGTACTTTATATATATATATATATGCCGAGTTGTTATAAGTGTGATTAAATATTGGTTTTATATGTGTGTAGATAACTTTCAGCATTCCCTTTGCTTTGGCATCCATATATTCTAACACTGCTGGATCAGGACAAGGTAATGTTTGGAGCTATCTTGGAAGTATTGTGGAGATTGTAGGCTTTCTAGGCTTTTTTCTAATAGTTTTGTGATGTTTGATTTTGACAGGTCTTTCTCTTGGAGTTCTGAATATTGCAATATGTGTACCGCAAGTAAGATTTTAATTGCTTAAATATGGCAGTGTCTAATATATATATGTCCTTGTTTACTTTAATAGAATCTAATTCATTTATTATCGGGCAAGTAATTAAAATGAATTGCTTTTGAAAGTTTGTATAAAGTTTTTTCTGAGCATGTGATAGAGAATATTATCAAAAAAATTTCTCTTCAGTGTGAACATGACTAATAACTTCTTTTTCTTGTTCTTAGAATCCAATAATCAATTACTTTTAGAAATCTCCATCCCACATCAGAATGTATTGTGTGATGATTCCAAAAATATATATTTATATTTTTGGCAAACAAAATTGGTTTATCAATTTTTGGCTAATTTTGGCTACTCAATTTTGAACAGATGTTCGTATCCGTAGTTAGTGGACCGTGGGATGCTCTCTTTGGTGGCGGTAACCTACCCGCATTTGTCGCGGGGGCATTTTTTGCAGTTGTAAGCGGCGTGTTGGCATTGACCATGCTCCCATCCCCAACTCCAAATGATCAATCTGCAAAAATGCCAACCGTTGCTTCATTTCATTGAAGCAAATATCTTTATTTAGGAGCTAATTAACTCTTTTTTTTTTTTTTTTTTTCAAACGGTTGTTGGGTTTTTCAGTTTTTCGGCTTTCTATTCGAGAGAGTGGCTATTTCTTTGTGTAGACTTGGTACTTGGTTATAATACTATAGGGAGCTTCGTTTAATTGTGTTTTTATTTACATTATTACTTAATTGTAATGTGAAATAGCTTTTGTGCTTTTGCATATTTCATCGACTACAAAACATTAGATTGACCAATGTTTATCCATTTTTTCCTCTTAAACTATACTCCATATATCTATAATCTATTAAATATCTATATGCTATTTTTTTTTTTTTTTTTAATAATATGTAATATCACTATTCTTAAATTCCCATTAAAGTTTAAAATTTATCCCATTAAAGTTTAAAATTTCTACATAAATGACTTAATTTTCTACGTCAACTTTTCACCTTCATACTCCACATTTGTTGTCCACCACATTTGTTGTCCAATGAGGCTTTATATAAGATAGAGAAAAGAATGATAGATTATTATTTAGAAATGATCCTATTATTATAGACTATAGAATCGGAATTGAGGGATCTTGAACTTGCAAATCCCACCCATTAAACTATATTTTTATAAAAATTACGTGTACAACCTTAAAAAAATATCTTGTTTCATTGGAATTATTTAGTTTTATCGTACGTGTTATAACATATCATCGCTACGAGTTTGGTGATTTATTTTGTATAGGAAAAGATTAAGAACATCCTCCAAATCCTCATATAATGATTCTGATTAATGATAATGATAACAAGAAGATTATGTGATATATATATATATATATCAAAAAGAAATAACAACATTTTTAATCCAAACTACACATTAATATGCAACTTTTATGTGTTATCCGTGACTTAAAGTTGCTGTTTGGTATTTCTTTACTTTAATTATTGAAACCTAAATCTGTATGGTTGGTAAAAGGGTAAACAAGGGCGGTGGCATATTGAAACTTGAATTCGATGGAGGTCTGCACTAGGTTTCTCTACACCAAAGAAGAGACACGTATTGTTCTGAATGAACTTATAAGGCGTTGTGTTCCATTACAAACTAAATTGTGAACTACGGATGAGGATTGGCCTTCGACAGAAAAAGATGCACCTGTCGGGCAGAGACAAAAGTCGACTTTAATGATCTAACGTTGTTGAGTGAAAGGACGGTGGGCTTAGTCAACGGATAAAAATTACTCTAATGATAAGAGGCTGATCTTTCCCAGGATCACATTCACGGAATGGTTACTAACCCAATGAATCATGTTGTTCTACTCTAATAAGCCTTCTATTAATTTTGTTGTTTAAAATATGTAAAAATGTTTGATTCCCAACTTAGCGGTTTGAATAAGAAAGAATATGAAATCATAAGCTGCCATATCTTATTTTCTAATGGTTAAAAACTTTTTCAATTAATTAGTTGGTGTTAACATTTTGTTAATTGTGCTTTTTAGTTAAGTCTTTTTAAAATTTTATTAAAACTTGAATTATGTAGATAATATAATTGATTAGTGTTTGGTTCACTCGTGATTAGGATGAATCTTGTTAAGATAAAATTAAATTTGGATTACAATAATAAAATTCATTGAATCAATCCTCCAAATAAACAAGAAATTATTAGATGGTTCTGAATTATTTGACATTTGATGGATTAATCTAATAAAAATTAATATTAATTTTTTATTATAATATATTAATACACTCTTGTTGAACCGATTATGCTATGTTCGAAAGGAAGGAAGATGTGTGGAGAGAAAATAGAAAAGAATGAACACATTTTCTTTGTTCGGTATGAATGACATAAGGAAAGAAAGGAAAATTGGAAGGATGGGTCATTCTTCCTCCTCCCATCCTTCCTCCTTTACAAATTTTCATTCGTAAAAAAATGGGCGAGAGAAATAAGATTTTAAATTAAATAATATCCTAAATTATACAAGTTTTAAATTACAATACTATCCTCTATAAATTATAATAATATAAATATTATTGGATATAATGGTAAAAATAATTAAAACATTCTCTTTCCTTCTCTCTTAACAAACATAGGAAATTTTAAATTTACTCTCTGCTCTTGTCTCTAACCGAACAAAAAAAAAAAAAAATACATAATCTCTTCCCTAGGAATGTCTCATCCATCCTTTTTTTTCTCCCTTCCATCCAATTTTTTTCTTCCTTACCGAACAGAGTATAAAAGTTGAATCCAAACCTAAGGTGTAAAACCTTAATTGAAGTGTGAGTTAAACCCAACCCAACTCTAGCCAAACTTGTGCATATCTTTCTTGTATTCGGGGCTAGGTTGATGGTTTATATTTGGGTTGGCTTGTTCAGTCAGGGTAGATTAGGCTTGATTTAAGTTTGGCTTAGGTCAGTTTGGGTTTTTAGAGTAATAAGATTCCAAAAAATAATAGTAGTGTTACCATAATAATATTGGTAGAGTTTGGGCTGGGCTCAAGTTACACAACACCCTAGTAAAGTGAACCAGATTTTTTACAGGGTTAAAAATATAGTAGAGTTTTGGGTTGGGCTCAGATTACCCAACACCCAAAATGAGCCAACTGGATCCGAGACAGGGTTGAACATTTTTCACCCTAAGCCCAATCCAAATTGTCTCAAAACTTTCTCAGAAAGTGTTTCTCAACACTCACACCATGCTAGCAAGGTGAACTGGGGGCCATAAAAGTATAATGGCTTGGGCCTAAACTGTAACAAATTTAAGCCCTAAAACCAATCCATTTGAAGCCTTATTCATCCTACTAGACAATTATTTTTCAGGTAATAATAACAAGGGTAAATTATACTCACACCCCTTGAGGTTAGGTCATATTTCAGCTGGATGAAGATTTTGATTTTAATTTTCACTTACACTCCAATTTACTTTTTGCTTACGAATTGACCCTTTTAACCTTAATTTTTTAATAAAAAATATATATGATCTTAAATGACAAAAAGGCCCCTCCGTGTGTGTATATATATACTGTTTATACACGTATCAGTTATGGTCCCTATCAATCTTAACCGTCCAAACTCACACATCAGTACCTTCTGTCTCCTCTCCCTGCAGACCAATCCTCTTCAGATTCTTTGTCAATGATTTCACCGCCGATTGGGATTTTGGAAAAATTCAATCAACTAATTATACTAAACATATAATTAAATCTATTTTTGTGAGATTCAAATGACAGTATTGTTGATGGCCAGTCATTTTGATGGTGATAGCCTTTGATTTCATTTCATCCTCATCTCTAAATTATCATGTTATGTCCTCACTTTCACACCGACCACATCCCTACCTCATTATCTGAATGGCGACAGGGAAGCGGCAATGACATAGACCTTTGAAGAAACCACCGGCAATGATGATAAACTTGGAAGACGCCGATGAGTTTGGGTGAATTTTCTGTGTTTGGGATAATTTTTCGGCAATAATGAAGTTGCCGTTTGTGGACAAAGAGCTGACGGGCTACTGCCCGGTAAGCCGCCCTCTTGAGCCGTCGGAGGACTTAGCTAAGTCAACGATTCTGCAAAGAGAAATCAAGCAATCATAGGCATAGTTGTTGATTTTTCTAATCGATGAACTACTTTTTGCTTTGAGATTGGAGAAGGTAAGTTGGAGTGAGGAGTGGTCAGATTCCGGCGGCTGATCGGATCAAAGGTGGATGAAACGGCGGAGGGTGAGGTTGGGGACAAAGTCGGTGGTGTCAAGGATCTGCATGGTGGAGGGACAGGTGTTGTGGCCGGAGTTTGGTTGATGGGTTGGGTTCATAGGTGACGCCGGTGAAGATGAAGAAATTTGGTTGATGAGTTTGGTTAATAGGTTGGCTTCTTTGGATCTGTAGTTTGGTTGATGGGTTGGGTTCTTTGGATTTGTTGATGGACAGGTGTTGTGGCGGGAGTTTGGTTGATGAGAGTTTGCCGTTGGAATTTGGTTGATGGGTTAGGTCTGTAGGCGTTGTTGGTTAGATGAAGAAGTTTGGTTGATGGGTTGGGTCTGTAAGTGATGAGTTTAGTTAATGGGTTGGGTCTGTAGGTGACGCCGTTGAAGTTGAACTGGTTGAACGGTCGTAGGTGACTGGTTGTTGTTGTTGATGTGGTCTTCTTGGGTTTATGTTTGTTGCGATCATGACGTTGATGGTGACAAATGGTGATCGGTATCACCGGGATGGGTTTGTGGAGAGAGAGATTATAGGAGAGGGAAGATGACTTATGTGTGTAAGTATTTCGCTGGAGAGAGAAGATGGCTTATGTGGGTAGTATTTGGCTGACGTGGATATTCCTTTCCCTCTTGGGTATGTTGGGGCTAGTTTGGTCATAAAAATAGTCAATTCGTGGTCAAAAGGTAACATAGTCATTTAACACCTCAAAAGTATTTTGAACTCACCAAAAATTGACATTTGGGGTGTATGTGAAATGTTGAACCACTAATTTAAATATAAGTAAAATTTGAAACCAAAATTTTCATATAGCTGAAATATGACCTAACCTCAAGAGGTGTGAGTGTAATTTACCATAATAACAACAACAATGGGTAATAGATGATTTTGACCCATATAACATTTCAATTTTATATGTACGACGAGTATTAGTAACATAGGTCTTGCAGGGTCTTGTACCATATCGGATAACTCACAACACACAAATATCTGATATCTGAGACAACTTTATCATATAAGTGTATATACTGTGAGCCGTCCAATGAAGTTCATCAAAAGGTGCGAGCATAAGAGAATTTAGAAAAGTATGAGCTAAGTTACATAATTTTTTGGGTAAAGTACATTCACACTTCCTGAGATTTGGCAAAAAGACAGACAGATGAAAGTTGCTCATTTTTTGGACAATGACGCCCCCTCTTCTGAAATTCCATCCAAACACTGCCTTAAGTCATGTGAAAAGACAAAATTACCCCTCCATATTAAATTCAGATATATTACAAAATATCCAACCATGCAAAATGACACAAGATCCCTTTATTCATTTTTTCTCTTTTCTCTCTCTTCCTATCACACAATCTACGCCTCTCTCTCTCTATCTGCTAACATATATATATATATATATATACACACACACACACACAGGCATATGCCGGAGCGAGCAAAGGCATCCGTGATGGTGTTCTCTTCTCCGTGATGGCGTTCTCTTCGCCGGAGCGAGCAAAGGCATGTGATGGTGTGGATTGGTGGTGGGTTACTCCCAGACCCAGTTATTTTAACCTGGGTATTGTTTTTAGGTAGCCTCAGATACTCACTCCTTTAGGGAGTGCATAATAGGATAACTAGTGTTATCTTTCATTTTCTTATATTTTTTTTGTTTAGTTTTAGTTCTTTCTCTGATTCCACCCTCCAAATTTATTTGATGGTCAATAGTAGAATTGCAAATGAATGGATTGAAATTTAAATTAGGTAAAACTCATTTAAAACTTGTTTAATTACTTGCTTATGCTACTTCAGAGAAGTGATTTACTCCGGAGCGAGCAAAGGCATGTGATTCATAGAAATTAAATTTCCAGTGATTTGTACTATTGTTCATGATGATTAAGCCATGGATTGGTGGTGGGTTTGAGAGGCGAGGATTGTGTGGGTGGTGGCGGCAATTGATGATTGGGATTATATGGGTGCTGGCGACGGAGGCAATTGGTGGTGGCGACGGCGACAATTGGTGATGGGTTGGGATTAGGCGGGTTTTGGCAACGGCGGTGATGGGCGGTGATTATGTAGTGTATGTGTATATATATACAAAGAGAAAAGAATAAAGGTTTGGGTTTAATCCAAGGGCATTTAAGGCAACTAAAATATCAACTTTATATCAAAGGGTAATAAAGTCAATTCACTATTGTCAGGAGTCGCTTTGTCCATTTTTCAAACTTGAAGGGGTGTCTTTGTCTAAAAAATGAATAACTGTCATTTGTGAATTTTTTTGTCAAACTTCAGGAAGTGTGACTGTATTATATTCTAATTTTTTTAAACTTTTGCACGTCCTCCCCCCTCCCCCCGGGGGCGGTTTCACGTACCCACCTATTGCACGTCCCCCCCCCCCCCCGGGGGGCGGTTTCACGTACCCACCTACTTTCACTGTACGTGGGTATCTAGCTATAAAAAATAAATATAAAAATTTGTGATTACATATAAAGTGTGGCCCACATTAAACATATTCATGCAGTTATTGCAGACACAAAATTTCAACGTCTGTCTGTCTAACAATCCATGCTTGACGATTCACATTACGCACAAACATAAACTGTTTCCTTCTTCCACCTCATTGTCTTTCCTCACCCACCATTACCCAAAACTCACTCCCTTCAATTCACTCAATCCAAACACCACCAATCATTCAATTACACATTCGCTCACCAAACCCATTCACACATCATTTATTACGCTTTCCTTTCCTCTTGATTTCTCCGTCTCAAATTTCCCACCATGGATTGCTCGGAATCGATTGAATCACCCTATAAACTCCTCTACAGAGCAATCACAATGATACCCACATCGCACTACGTGTTGGGTTTTCTATTTGTTTGGGTTGCTTTCTTCTACAAATTCTTGGAGTTCCACTTCCTCCAAGATCTCCTCACCGGATTTCGGGGGTCTCCGGTGACGCTGACATTCAATTCGTGCTCTCAGATCTACAATGGCGTTGCCTCCAAATGTCGAATTCTTCACGGCAGGTATGTACAATTGTTGAATCGCTGTGTGTGTGTTTGTGTGTGCATTGGGGATTCTGGGTGTCAATTGTCATTGGGTATTTTGTTCTTGAATGTTTTGCAGGTACTTGGTAACGCCGTGGCTATCCAGTCCTCATATTCAGACCACTTTTTTGAGTTTCTATGGGAAACCCCCTGTTGTAAGCTATAGAAGGTGAGCTGAATATGGTTTTTGAACATACTATATATACAATCATGTTCGTGTGTAGTTTTGGTGGGATTATAAATTTTTTTTTCGGAAATTTGGTTAAAAGATTAAACATTACCATTAGACTCTTGAAATGTCATTCAAGATGCTTCTCTAACTAAAATATTTGTATATGATTTCAGACAATTGTTTCATGCATCTGATGGTGGAACTCTTGCTCTGGACTGGCTAGCGAGATCTGATGGTAATGAAAAACATTTGACATCAATTAAATGACTCTGTACAAACATAATAGTCATATATTTGAAGTTGACCAGACTAACAAATGTTGTGATTTTTTTTTTATTTTTTATTTTTATGTTCTCTTATTCATGCATACTTTTATTACTCAGTTATGGAAGGAATTATGAACAAGAATAATGCAATTTCTAAAGATGATCAAACCCCCATTGTGGTGGTGATCCCTGGCTTGACAAGTGATTCTTCTGATGCTGTAAGTTATGTACTTCATTCCGTCATTCCAATTTCAAATCATGTCTCAAAGTGCTTCTATGACTTGAATTCGGTCTTTACTATGATATAAGTTTGCTGACTGAATTTTGTTTGAAAATATGATGGGAACTAACTGGTTACTTTGAGGTGCAGAGTTGGTAGCGTGTGAGTTTGACAAATTTTCTTGGTTACTTAGGAATTTGTTTGAGTACTTTAGAATTTCCTGTGAATTTTTAAAACTCGATGGATAAAATAATTTAAAAGTTCATTTGATGCATCAAGAATTTTTTTTTTTTACATTACTCACACACAAATGCTCACTATGGGGCTCGAACCCCTCGCTTCCCCTTCGAGGAGGAGAGGTTATACTAGCTGGACTAATGGCCAAGTGGTAGAATTGATAGTTTTTTATACCAGTATATTTATATATATTTAAATTGCTCGTATGAAAGGAACATGATTTTGGAAATGACATGCATCTAAGAGATGAGTGCAGATGTGACTGTCAATTATTATAAAAGATCTGATAGAGTTCCATTTTTTGGAGCTCGCATAGGCCTTTTTAGGGATTTTGAAGTATTTAGCTTCTTGGTTCTTCTACTTTTGTAGCTCAATGATTTTGATTTTTTTTTTGGTAATGTACCTTAGTGATTTCTTTTCAATATAGTGGTTCATCTCTTGATTCTTGTTCTCAATTTTTTATTTTGAACAACTTGAGCTTTCTTGAAATTGGCTCCCACAATCAGAATTTTTTTATTTTATTTTTTTTGAGGTATTGCAATCAATTTAGCTATTGTACTGATTTTATTTTTAAAAATCTCAAATTAATTGGAATATTTAATAATCAAGAGTTGGTCTACAAAGTAGTGAATGGCTTCAGAAAGAACAGAGAACAAATATAACGCAGGGCATAGTGGTGCATGGTAATTTACCATCTGACACCATTGATTATATGCCAACCTTATAGGTATAGGTATGAACTAGGATTTGGTCCTTGATTTGTGTCCAAAACCTTTAATCTCTGTTGACAAGATTGAATTAGTTGTAGAGAGGGAGTAAAGTTTGCTCGTCATTTTTTATGTTTTATTTTTAAAACATGTTGAAGCTCTTTCCGTATATGAAGAATACCTATTTTTTGTTAAAATTTTTTACCATACATATTGCAGTATATAAAGCATCTTGCCTTCAATATTGCCAAGCATGGATGGAACGTTGTTGTTAGCAACCACCGAGGATTAGGTGGCATTTCAGTCACTGTAAGTTTCCTTTGAAAATTCGATGCAATCAATTAGCTGGAACAGACTGAATTTTATAATTTTGGTTCCTCTAAGATGCTAGAAATTATGCAACAAACCTGTTGGTTGTTATTCACTTTTTGGTATCTCTTTGACTCTCGATTTTCTAAACTTACATTTATAGTTGATGAAGTGTTTCTAAAGTATCTACTTTATCACTGTCCTCAAAATTTTAATTTAATATCTTATTTTTATTCAACCTATGCAGACTGATTGCTTTTATAATGCTGGGTGGACAGAGGATCTACGGGAAATCCTTGATTATCTCCATCACGAATATCCCAAGGCTCCATTGTTTGCTATTGGAACTAGCATTGGTGCAAACATTTTGGTATATTAGCTTGTGTATTTTCATTATTGCAAGCCCCAAGCATGTGGAACTGTCTTTAAACATGTCAAAATAGTTTCTTTTAAAATACTTTAATTTCCTTTCTAATATATCCAACTTCATTGTCAAACATATAAAAGACTTGTTGGCTAGATATACCTATAGAATATCAAAACTGAAGGACATGGCATGGTACTTAGAAGAAATATATAATAACAAAAGCTAGCCAGATAGGTAACTGATACATCCTAGGCAAGGATATCATTATTGCAAGCGAAAGTGGCTTCATCATGAGCTTTCTTGACCACTACTTGTTGGTCTTTACGATAGTGCAACACAAAAAAAAAAGACCTTAATTTTCTTCAGGTCAATGATCTCATCCATACTACCATCTCTTTCTCCTCCTTAGGTTTAAAAAAAGAAAAATTCTGATGGGTAGTATATAACAGCAAATGCAATTGTCTCCAAGATTATGCAATGGAGGAGTAACTTGGCTACCTGGATACCTGATCAGTTGCTTACCTTAATGTGCAATGAAGGAGTTAATTGTGATGTTGTAATGCAATCAAATAGTTATCTGTGAGCAATCAATTCCTCATTTTGATGATTAACATTGCTGGACTCTGTAATCTATATTGGTTAGTAATAGATGATATCTGATGCCATTCACTTGTAGAATCTTTGACTAGATGCCAATATTTTGTACTTCATACATAATTTTCATCAATTTTTTAATTATTTATTTATTTATTTTGCCATCCTTATATAAAATGTTAACAACTTGACATATTCTTATTTATCTAAAAATGATTGTTTTCAGGTAAAATATCTTGGAGAGGACAGGGAGAATGTTCCCATTGCGGGGGCTGTTGCTATCTGCTCTCCATGGGACCTTCTGGTTTGTGTTTAGATTTGACAATGAAACGATTTTAGCAAGTGTAGTGCTGTGATAATTATAGATGCACAAGGAGAAAACCAAGAAAACTAATCACCTATGTCATATTTTACATGAAGTCTGTTAAGTGTATCTGGTATAGGGTACTCCTAGAGTTGAATTCTCCCTTCATAGGTCTTAGGGACATAATGAATTGTTGAAGCTGTTAATTTTTTTCTTTTATCTACTCGGGTTTGATCATTTGTTTATTTGGCAAATACTGACCAGCATGAGATAACAGGTATATGCTCAACAGTAGATGTGTTGGACACATATCTCACAACTTGTACCTATGTTTCATTGTTCTGGCATGGGTGCTTCTCCTATTTTGAAGTGTACATGTAACTAGAGTTACTAGACCGTCAATCAGACGTGGTAAAAACTTTCAAAAACATCCGACAGACAAGTTTCAAGTCTCTACCAGCCAAACAGTCGCAATAAATATGTGAAGAGCTATGTGCTGATTCTACTAATGCTACCTGTTTTTCCTGTGATGGTACCCAAAAAATACACTTGATAATTTGAGGAGAAAATCTACTGGTATTAAGAATGATTGCATGTACAAAAGGAACATATTAGGGTTTTGAGCCATGGTAGGATCTTGTACCACAATGTTGGACAATGGATTGCTAGTATACATCATAAACTATATAGATTTTGCAGCCCAAAAAAAAAAAAAAAAAATCCGAATGACCACCAATTATGAGTTATATTAAAAAAAAAATGCAGTTCCACAAGCAGTAGAAATTTGCTGAATCATGCCATTTGTGGCATGGTGAACTTAAAGGTCGTCCTTAACATTCCCAACTGCATTGCCGAATTGCCATTACCCAGTGTTGGTTCCTCCACCCTGGGTTGCTGAGAAGAATAGGCTAAAGACACCTAACATTTGGCACCATATCGCACAAAATGTCATTATCTGTCTGAATTCATACATGATACAACATTTATTTCCCTCTACACGAGGTGCTAGAAGGAATAGACTTGAGACACACCTAACATCTTGCACTGTATCGCACAGTGTCACTATATGTCAGAATGCATATAACATATGCAAAACCCAATCAAACTTCTATATCATTATGTATTACTTTGAGGATAGAGGATTTCAGGATGATTTTGAACTAAAATTAACAAGTTACTCTAGACTGATTATTGACAAATGCAGTGATAATTCATGGGATCTTTTATCTCTAGAAGACTTGAACATGTTTGTAATTTTTTTTGAGCATCTACTTAAACTCTTATATAGAAAGAAATTTCATTCTGCTTGTCTTAGTAACAGGCATTACATTCTCAAATAGATATTTAATTTTACCTGGATGTTTGGAATCAACATCACCAAAGGTCAAATGGAAGCATGACAAGGAGTGAGTGCAATCATCAAGCAGAGATTTGGACCAGAAAGCGGCTTCAATTGATCAAGATTTAATAAGAAAAGCCATCGTTTTGATTTCGTCTTAAGCCTTGTGCTATGATCCTAAAAGTATACTGGAAGTATCTTTAGTATGTTTGTGTGTGTTTTTAGTGGATAAATAGAAACAAAATTTCATCATTATTGGTCATCCAATATGATGTTTACAACTGGTCAATCTGCTACCTGATACTAATATCGAACATATGGTTAGAATCAATCGCAGTGCCTCCCCTCTGGGACCGTGGTTGCCATTGTTTTCTTACCTTATATTTCGAACCAAGTTAGCTGCTACTTTGACATGAACAGATAAATGTCTCTCGGGAGAATTTCTTTGCAAGAATCCTTAAATGCACATTTAATATCAATTCTTATCATTTGTTATCCAAGTGGAATTTACATCCTGTTTTATCTATTTCTCAGATTGGTGATAGGTTCATTGGTCGCAGGCTCATACAGAAGTTGTACGACAGAGCTCTGACCATTGGCCTTCAAGGTTATGCATCATTGTATGTCGGCACTACCTTCTTAATTGAGATTTGTACATGAGATTTAATATGGCAATTTTGCTGCTTGAAACTTTAAAAAAATCATTTCTACTTTGATTGTAACTCTTTGATTATAACATCTAAACCTTCAATGCAGACATCAACCTCACTATTCTCGTCTTGCTGATTGGGAAGGCATTAAAAAGGTTATTTTGCTCTCTGAAATAGTATTATCTTATGTATTGTATATGTCTTGTGTCTGTATCCATGCTTCAAACTGTTGTGTGTTTCTTGTTGTTTCCCCGCTGGGGAACTGGGTTAAGGTTGCCTCTACCTACTGCAAAACTCCTGATGAGCATCTTCAAGGCTTTAATAATACTTACTTGCTTTTTGCTTTTTTACTTTGTATCATAAACTGCATTTTGTGTCATTATGTAGGCTTTTTCTCCTTTCTTCTAACTAATATTGTCAATTTTTGTCTATTTCCTTGTGCTTGAATAGTCACGTTCTATTCGAGATTTTGACAACTACGCCACCTGTCTTGTTGGGAAATTTGAGGTAACCTCTCTCTCTCTCCCTATCTCAAATGCTTTTCCCCTACAAGTTATTGATAGTTGCATATTTTTTCCTCAAGACTGTAGATACGTATTACAGGCGTTGTAGCAGTACTAGTTATGTGAAAAATGTGTCCGTGCCACTACTCTGCATCAGTGCTTTGGATGATCCACTTTGTACTAGGGAAGCCATTCCATGGGATGAATGCAGGTGGAAGAGACAGGAGTTTCCTTTTTCTTAATACCCTTTTTCAGTTTTTCCTTGTCCATTGAATATCTTATCTGAACTTTTTCTTCCATGATTTCCATCATAGAGCAAATAAAAATATTGTTCTGGCTACAACACAGCATGGAGGGCATCTTGCATTTTTTGAGGGAATAACAGCATCTGGCCTATGGTACTTTATACTTATATTTTCTTGGGATATTATGCTCTTTACATTTTCGGCGTTCAAAATATTTAATCATGACCATGGAAGTCTACTAGATTTGATCTTTTGGAATCCATTTATTTCCTAAAACTTTGCAAGGAAAACTATACAACTGTAGTTCTGATAACAGATTCCAGCCTTACATTATTCAATTATACCTCAACATTTATATAAATGTGTTAACAGTCAAAATTTTACTTAGGACTTTTAATCACCATGTTTTCTAGTTGTTGTCAGTGTTCCGCAATTTACACATTGTTTGTCTAGCCTGCAACCCTCTTATTGATCTTGGTTTAAATAGTAAGCTGAATAAGCTGCAGAAGTTAGATGGCTACTAGGATTATGGCGAACAGTTTTTGTTAATGTGATTTCTGACGCATCAGAATCATTTTGCTACTTGAACAATTGTAGAACTTATAACAATAGTAATGAATATGGGGGTACAGTTTCACTCATTCTTTTTATTGCAGGTGGGTTGGGGCAGCTTATGAATTCCTGAGTGTTCTACATTCTAGTCCATTTATGCATAGCCAAAAGAAGGTGCAAATCATTTTCATTACCTTTTTAGTCTTTTAGTCTGCTGCTTAACTGGTAGTTGTACATAGAAGTAGGTATACAGCAATTTTGGCTGTTTCACGCTACATCTCATTCAGGTGCTTATCAAACTGAAACAATTTTAGTAGGTCCAGGCAGCGGAACCTAATAGACAAAATACATAATTTTATAGAATATTAGAATATTCTCTCACAAAAAAGAAAATCAATAACTCGATTATTATGTAATTTACCATCCATTTCAGACCATTTATACATTTTTGTTGTTTTATTTATGCAGGCACAGAATCCTGGGCTGCATTCTTCAATGGAGTCTTCAATCGATCAGGGTCCATATCTAAATGTATCAGATGGAATGGTGTCTGCAATGGGCAATGAGCTGACAACAAATAATGTGGTCCAAGACTCATCTGAAGTGGAGCGGATTCATAACACGACTAAAGAATTGGCTTTAGATACAGAACAAGGTGAGCTCAAAAGTGAAGGTAAGTGGGATAGCATGCCCAACGGTGCCCAAACCTCCAAGCGAGTTTCAAACATAAAGGATTCTGAGTCTCTTGACATAACTGCTCCGGTTAAAAGATTCTTAGATCAGCTTTATCTTCAAAATAGAAGATCAATATGGCTTCTTGGTTTCATTGCCATCACATCAAGTTGGCCACTGGTAAGTGCAGCTCTTCAGTTTCTCTTTAGAAAGAAGCTCAAGAATGTCTCACCTGCAAAGTTACAGTAGACATAGATCTCCATAGTGGTAATCGGTAAATATGTACTCGTGTTGATTCTCATTTTGAAATCTTCGTTGTCACCTAGGTTGACTCGTATGTTTCCATGTAAAATTGTGAACCATCTGGTGGGTGTAGATAATACAGGTCGAAAACTTTTCGAAATTAGCATGGGATAATTGGGTTATTTAGACTCTCATGCATCTAAACATTCAGTTTTACCATATTAAGAAGATGTTTTTCTATTTTCTATCTTCTTTCTTTCTTTTCTTCTGATGGATAACCGAAAAACGAAAACAACCCAGAAAGGCTAGAACTGTAAGGCAGATCAGTAGCCTGTCTAACTGAGCAGCAGGGCATACAAGAGAAAATTTGTTATACAGAGCCCATTTTCACCCACTTGGGGCCACTCAATTGCTTTCTCTTAGGGTCCCGGATAGTGACAAATTATTACACGGTTCCGGACTAATCACCATTTGAGAACTAAGCAAATGTGTAAGCTTTATTTGGATAGTAGAAGAATATTCAACCGAAGTGAAATATTTTGTACCTGCATTGTTGGATCACTTGTCCAAGAAAGTGAATCTGGTTGCTCACACATGCTTAAGAAGCTTACTTTGAGCTGAATGCTGCATAATCTGCATTCCAACTTTTCACCATCCTTCATGGGGGTGCCTCAATTTCAAGTTCATGAGGGGCATTTGTATTTTCGTTGGTGCACGGTGAGGAGGTTCCATTTTGATTTAGAGATCACGGGTTCAAAATGGAAAATAGCTTCCATGCATGTAGAGGTGTCAGAGCCTTGTGCACCAAGTTAGCCTTTTATACTTGTTAATCAGTGTAATTTTCATAATTTTAGATATTATATGGCCAGGAAAAAAAATGGATAAACTAGATACATACAAGATGTCGGAGCTTCTATGGAAAACTACACTGGTTCAAAATGGAAAATAGCTTCTAAGCATGTAGAGTCGGAGCCTTGTGCACTAAGTTAGCTTTTTATGCTTGTTAATCAGTGTAATTTTCATAATTTTAGATATTATATGGTTCGAAAAAAAAAATTGGATAAACCAGATACATACTTAGATATAGCCAAAAAAAAAAAAAAAAAAAAAAAAAAAAAAACCCAGAAAATAAATAAATATATTAATTCAAGCAAGAAGATTGCAATCCAGAGCAGCAAGAGAGACAATACAGGGATAGGAAGTATATTTTAAATCAAAGGCTTAGAGCGTGTCAGGTGAGTCACAAAAAATAATATTTGAATAATTCTAAACTTTTTACTGAGTTGTAAATATTTTACTGAGTTATGTTTACCTCCAGTTGTGCTTGAATCACAACCATAGATCTACTAAAAAGAGGACACGTGTGACTATCCCCTAGCATTTCAACTTATGATAGCGTGCGTATTTATCTGTTCAATTGAAATAATGCTAGAAATGCTTTTAAGTGAGTAGAATATCTTCGCACTGAATCAGGCATTTGGGCTAGGGCGTTGGGTCCACGATGGCTTGTAAAGCCCATTACACTAAACCAAACCCAATCTAATGCCGAAGAGTTAGCCCATCTCGCTCAAGACAACAATAAACCATACCCAACCTAATGTCAAAAGAGTTAAAGCCCATCTGGCTCAGGACAAGATCTAACAGAGAATTTTTATTGAAAGTCTCATGCCATCTATCACATTGGTTATTTGTTTGGTGACCTACTCATCATGGTATTAATACTTAGTCAATGAATGGGCTTGGTCTAGGCAGTGCAATACAATATATATATATATATATATATATATATATATATTAGAATGGGCCATTGTTGCTCATAAATAACTATTTTTTTTACTTTTCATTATGTTATATTTGTTGCTCATAAATAACTATTTTTTTTACTTTTCATTATGTTATATATATATATATATATATATGCGCACACGTGCGTGTGCTGGGGCGGAGCCAGGATTCAATTTTAGGGGGGCACAGTGTATTTGACGGAAAACAAAAAAAATTCAACTAACATTAGATTTTATTTTATTTTTTTTCACATCAAAAAAATCTAACTAATAACCTATTTTTTATTTTATTATTATTATTATTTTCAAATCAAAAGGCAAACAAAAAAAATCATTCAATACCAATATTGATTTGTTGAACTGAAAAGGATAATTAAAGTAATTGACAAATATAAGAACCAAATATAGATTTTGATAATATTTTTATTGAATGCCAAAATAAACAATTACAAATTATAGTATACAATAGTTAGTACAGCCGTGTAGATCAAATGACTGAATATTTTGATAGATAGAATGACTAAATCACCCTGAATATATCATTAAATGTTTTTTTTGAGAGGGACATATTTAAACTTTCAAGAAAAAAAAAAAATACACATAATAGTACTAATTTTTATTTTTTCAAGGGAGCACACGCCCTGGGCACACGATTCCTCCGCCCCTGTGTGTGTGACACAAAACGTAAGCATATACATAACCAGCAAATTGTCTTAATATGAATTAAACGTGGTGTGCATACCACGATGTCCCACTTTAGAAGGTATCAATATAACAACAAAATCAGAAAGCTGGGTAGTATACTTTTTTTCTTGGCACATTTCTGGCTGTGGGTCATAATATCCCTTGTAAACAATAAAAAAAAAATCTTAGAAAAAATTGTCCTTGACCATTTCTTTATATATATATATATATATATTATACCTTCCTTTCTTGTGGTTCTTAATAAAAGATAAGGCTTTTAGGTGAGAAAAAGACCTTTACAATGAAGGAATCAAAGCAGACGAAGACAAATGTGACGTCCATGTTGCACCAAAAAATCAGGTTGAAAGAATAGAATAGAAGTTTCCTCTTCAATTACTACAGTGCCTGTCTATATATATATATATATATATATTAAAAAACCAGTGTCTGACCCTTGTTCTAGATGGAAGAATATTCTCACATAGAAACCAAGAGAAACAAAATCAAAGCCAGCTTGTTTTTACTTTGTAATCTCAGCCCTTTTATCCATTTTCTTGATCATTACTCCTAAATTCTCCTTTATTACATTTATACTATGGATTATGATATCTAAGTTCAGTTCTTCTAACAAAATTTGTCCTTTTAATTGTACCTTGTCTTCTAAATTGGTTCTTAATTCAAATTTAATTCACGGAAACATCATTTATTTTAATTATCACGTTGTATTTAATTATTTGATTATAAATAATTATAGCAGATTTATAATCAAAATATGATACAGTTTTAATGAGGGTGGATGTTGGCGCAATGATAAGATTACTTTATCGTGATCACCTTAAGTCTAAAGATTACGAATTTAAAGCTGCGAGTCTAGTATGCTAGACTAATATGTGTGTGTTTGTGTTTTCGTATTTATGAAAAAAGAAAAATAATAGAAGTGAAAAACTTGAAATGGAGGTCATGATAGGGCATCTGGTGGTTGAACTTAACAGAGACCAATGACTTTGTCATCTTCAACATTAACTACTACCTCAACTGTTTCCAAAACTATATTATCTCTGGTTGCCGTCAAGCTGGAAAGGATTCCTACTATTTAAATGTATATATATTTTTAAACATACCCACAATATTTTTCGTAAGAGAACTCGAAAACTCAATTTATTTTGGAGACCAATGTTCAAACCATATAACTAATGTTTATAACATCTTTCCTTTAAATATGTTTTTATTATATATATATATATATATATATATATATATATATATATATATATTTTGGGATTAGCTTAATTTGCATCAAAGTCCACAAATTCTAACGATAAAAATCACTTCTTTACAAAGGACATGTTAAATATGATAATTAGGTACTTAATTGAAAGACGATATTACAAACTAATTTTGTTAATTTCAAATAATTCTATAATTCAGATTAATTATAACAATCGAAATAGGGTTAGCTTAGTAGGATAGGCTTTTTTTTCTTATCCCGTCTCGAACCTATATCTATGTATGAAAACTAATCATACTAATATCTAACAAAAAAATATGCTGCAACTTTTTAGATCCTAAGCCTAAAGCCTCCAAATGTTTCTTCACAAGTTCACACCAGAAGACATAAAGAGTAACAATTTTATAATCTAAAATGCTATACTAATAGGCTAATTGATAGATATATATGTAATTAGTTGGCTACGACCATGGATTGAGGTACAAATATATATATATATATATATGGAAGATGCTAAATATAGAGTATCAAAGAATTTCGGCAGTGGTATAATATTAAGATGATACTAGTCTAAATAAATAGGACATATAATGATAATATTATGATGATGCTAATCTAAATGAATAGGACATATAATGATCGTTGGCAACTACTGTAGTAATTGCTTAGGATATGGGAGAATTCGCCATATGTCGATTTCCATAGTTTTAAAAGCATAAGCCGTCGGCATGTCTACTACTCAATCATACTGCCTTTGTACGAATTTCAATTTATTAATTTATACATGGAGTGTATATATATATATATCTATATATATATTAAATCTGCCTATAGGCTATAGGCTATAGCCTATAGCATATGTCTTCCATCAACAAGACATTTGAATTTGTTATATATATATATATATATATATATATTTTTGCAAGACATTTAAGTGTGTATATATATATATATATTCCGGACATGTTGTATATATGTGCGACCCTAGATTCCGAGTTGATCCTATCAGACTTGTTCAAACACCATTTTCAATGTAAGATCATGCACCCATTTATTCCATTAGCTTCCGGTTCACCCTATGATCATCACTTCGTTTTTGTTTGTCAATTCTAATACAGACAAACACAAGATAACTACTCAAGGGAATTTTATCAAATCCAACCCCACTTAGAGAGAGAAAGGAAGATGAAAAAACAATTACGTGGGTGACTCGGTGATTTACGGAGTCTAGAAATGATAAGATATACGCGATTTTACTTTTACATGGAGAGATTATTTTTAATTTTGGAATTTGTAATCTTTAAATTACAATAGAATAATTTTACTCATCTCCAACGTTTTAAATTTGACCATTTCAAACATTAAAAAAAGAAAAATAAATAAACAAAAAACGAAAAAGAAAAGAAAAGGAAGGACAAATTCCTGCACGATGCTCCGTTATTATAGAATTTGAGAAGGACCAGATATACGCAGTTTTACTTTCACATAAGAATGCAGATTTTGATTTTGAAAGTCATGACCTTTAAATCACAATAGAATAACCATACAATTTGTTGTTGATTAACTACACATGGGAAATCAAATTCAATCCCGTAGAGAGAAAAAGGGAAATGCATGGGTGACTTTTGGTTAAAAGGGTTTTAGGACAAATCCTAAATTCAGACACAGTAAATTTGACTTTTACATGTGAAAAACATTTAGATTTAAATGATGTAATAGTTTATAATTAAGTTATTGCACACCTTCAGAATTTACCTTGCAATCTCGAAAGATCTAAAAAATAAATGAGTTCCTTTTCTTTTTTAAAAAATAAACTTAATGCATGCATGCGTACGGATATTAACGAGAGTAACATGAAAAACAATAAAAGCGTTAATGGTGTAAGTATCGAGAAACTTGTTTTAATCAGTTGCCCATTTGAGAATTCCTTTGTATCTGTTTGTTTGGTCTGTACCCCTTTTGCATGTGCTTTTTTGACTAATATAATTCTAGCATTCTAATTAATTCGATTAAATCTATATAGTGTGTCATAGATTGAGCAGACCATGCCAGTGGACTGTAAAAGTATTAACTAAAACATATATAGATTTAAAAAAATAAAAAAATATTAGTTTTCATATAAGATCATTAAAGAATAACTTTAAGGAACTGGTTCAGTGGCGCAACTCTGATGTTTAGCGTCTTGTAAAATGTTACGTCTCAGATTCGAATCCTCTTGAATGCCATCAATCTCATTGGAGCCACGCTCGCAGCATAATCGAGTTTTACCAATTCTGTGTAGGGGTGCCGGACATTAAAAGAGAAATTATGTTTTTTTTTTTATATATATATAAAAATTTAATAAAAAATATAAGCTCAAATAAATACTTCTTGAAAATTGATCGACTCCATTTGTTTTAAATAAAGTTAATAATGATAATGATACCTACTCAAAATTGAGGTAACAAATTAAGATTTTACTATAAAAAAAAAATAGATAAACAAACCTGATGAATTAGTCCAAACCATTACAATTGACAAAGTCATCCAGCCCAAGCAACCATAGAGAGTCATTGAACAAGACTTTCACTGCTAAATTGTGAATAACAACTCAATTACAGTACGCATGAACTTTCCCACAAAGTCATTGAACTATATTTATGTGTGTGTGAATTGAGAGTAGTATAAATATTGCCCATTTAATTAAAATTAAATTCATAAAAAATAGGATATACATATTCCTCATGTGGTATATATATATATATAGTATTTTACTCGTGATTAAAATCTTTTGAAATGACAATACTCCAAACCCTTTCTTACCTTTTGTTTTCAAAATCAAAATTATTATATTATTATATAACCCTACTTTTCAAAAAAATTCACTAATTAGTCATCCTCTTCAAAATGCGACTAAGTCAAAATGCGACTATTTATTAAATAGTTTCTCTAGAACACTTTAATAAAAAAAATTTAGCAGGTGTAATATGCTGCTTTATGTGCACATTTGGGTTGGGCCAAATCTGCCCAAAGTGATTTTATTTTTTTCCTTTTCTAAAAGTAAATAATTTCCAAATAAAAAAAAGTCTTGCTTCTTGGACCAAAATTGGTCCAAGATGACTTTTCCATATGAAAGTAGTCTTTGCACCTATTTTCAAGGGCGGTGTACACCTTTCTCCAAGTTACGGGAAAGTCTAATCTCCTTTGCTGCTAGCTTAATTTTTAAATAATACACACACACTTAATTTTTAAATATAACACACACACACACACACACACACACACACACATATATTATGATAATTATAGCTAAAAAGTTTCCCAAAAATACAGCAATTATTAAACAATAAAACTGTTATTTATCCATCATATAATGAAGTTAGTTCTTCAAATAATTGTTGATTAATAAATTTTATTAAGTTATAAATTATTAACTTATAGATGGTCAAATTAATGTACTAGTAATGAACAGTAGCATCTTCTTTTCTCTTGTGGTACTTTATTCTTGCTAGTATTATGCATACCTTCAAAGAAAAGAACCAAAATCTTTATTGCTTTTTAGGACAAATCCAACTGCAATTCAAAGCCATAGATGACAAGTTTTATGAGGAAAAAAATGCATATATATGTATTTGTTGTCTAGGTCATCTAGAAGGGTGTGTGTGTCACTGTGTGTGTGTGTGAGGGAGAGAAAAAGAGAGAGAGAGGAGGCAAGTCTAAGGGGGACGGTAGGTTGGATTCCCACATATTTTGCCGCTGTTTTTTGTCGACTATGAATGACATCTATCGAGCATTCCGAACTCCCAAGGGACCCCAAAAACAACAAACCCTTTTCATAGTCCTCAAGACATCCCCATACCAATGGTACCAATACTAAAATAATCTACAAAGAATCTAACACTTTCCTCACCTTTGACAGTTATTTTGAAGAACAAAAAGATACCCTTCCTTTTTATCTTCATTCGACCCTATCTCTTCTTTGTCTTTGGTCCCATTCTCACACAAAAGAACTTGCCAGGAATTATTCTCTTTGCCACTTCTCTATTAAAACCCTATTTCAAATCTCCTCCCTCATTTTTCTATACACACTCCATCTCTCTCGATCTTTGTCTCGTCTTTCTTTCATTTTTCATATCTTCTATAATCGATTCTAGGAGGGTTGGGATCGATCGCTGTCTCTCCTTGAAATGGAAGGTACAGACGAGGAGGAGCTTTTGACCCTCCGACTTTCCGTCGTCACGGATTATGATTGCAATGGTGCTAAGAGGAAGAGGAAGAGAAGGGAAGCCGCGTTCAACCTTTTGAATAAAAACGAAGGTTGTGAAGGGAAGATACTAAGTCTCCTCCAACTAAGGGAACAAATGTCTAAACTAGACCACAAGAGAAAAGTGGTGGATGTTGTGGATGGGAAGGGTCTCCATTTGATCCATTTGCTGCTCATATCGGCCACCTCCATCGACGAAAACAACGTTGACTCGGCCGTGGAGAACCTGAGTGAGTTGTACCAAAATGTGTCCTTGAATGGAGATTCAGTCCAAAGGGTTGCGGCCTATTTCGCGGACGGATTGGTGGCGAGGCTTCTCACACCAAAGTCACCGTTCCATGACATGGTCATGAAAGCACCAACGCCAGAAGAGGAGTTCTTAGGTTTTCTAGAGTTCTATAGGGTGTCCCCATATTACCAATTTGCTCATTTCACAGCCAACCAAGCCATACTCGAGGCCTTCGAAAAAGAAGAAGATAGCAACAATTGGGCATTGCACGTCATCGACTTTGATGTCTCATATGGCTTCCAATGGCCTTCCCTAATCCAATCCCTATCCGAAAAGGCCACCATCGGAAACCGAATATCGCTACGAATCACGGGGTTTGGGAGAAGCTTGGAAGAGCTCCAAGAAACCGAGACAAGACTAGTGAGCTTTGCGAAGGGTTTTCGGAACCTGGTGTTCGAGTTCCAAGGGTTGCTGACAGGCTCCAAACTCGTAAACCTAAGGAAAAAGAAGAACGAAACCGTGGCTGTAAACCTAGTTTTCTATCTGAACACTTTGAATAGCTCCTCAAAAGTCTCCGACACATTGAAATATGTACATTCACTCGATCCCTCCATTGTAGTCTTCGTGGAACAAGAAGGTAGCCGGAGCCCTCGGAGCTTCTTGTCAAGATTCATGGAGTCCCTCCATTATTTTGCAGCCATGTTTGATTCGTTGGACGATTGCCTCCCACTCGATAGCGCGGAGAGGTTGAGCATCGAGAAGAACCACCTCGGGAGAGAGATCAAGAGCGTTATGAACTGCGACAAAGGCGACGCGGGGTGTCCCAAGTATGAGAAGATGGAGACATGGAAGGGGAGATTGGAGAGCCATGGGTTTGTTGGGGTCAATTTGAGTTCCAAGTGTATGATACAAGCAAAACTTCTGTTGAAAATTAGGAGCCATTATTGTCCAGTTCAAGTTGATGGAGAGATTGGTGGATTCAGAGTTTTTGAAAGAGATGAAGGGAGAGCTATATCTCTTGGGTGGCAAGATAGGTGTCTCATAACAGCCTCTTCATGGCATTGTGTATGATAGAAGATATATTCTTTTAATTAATCCACATTTGATCAATCTATAGTTCAATGCATATTCAAAATTATTTCAATTTTGTTACTTAATTAGTTCATATTTATGGACATTTCTATTACTTTTCTTCTCATTACTTGATCTGCATCAAAATTGTGTCTTGCCATTTTCTTTATAGTGATGTCTTGTGAGACTTACTGGTTCAAGTTTGTACTTTTCTTTCACTATTATTGTCAAAAAATGCGAAAAATTATTGGGAAAAATATGCTCAAAATCGTTTAAAGTTGGTACCTTTTTTTTTTTTTAATTTTTTTTTTCATTTAAAGTTGGTACTTGAAGATCAGACAAGTCCATAAAAGTGGGAAAAGTATGTTTTAAGGGACACTTTGCAAATCATGTTTCTAGTACTGTTTCTGTGTCTTTCTAATGTAGGGTATATGAGGTTTCCTAGTTGTGACACACATACGATCCAAAAATTATTGGGTACTCAGTAAAGATAAGTACTCACTATTGAATGAGGAGGCCCCCATCAATAAATAAATAAATATATATATATATATATATGTGTGTGTGTGTGTGTGTATTGGGTAAATAAATTCGAATTAAGAAGACACAAAATTTGTACAACAAAACATATAAAATAAGCCAACAAACAAGAGACTAATATTGTTGTTCATTCAGTAAGTTAATTGTCTGTGCGCTGTTCAATCTAATCTAATGATCATTGTATAATTTACATTTCACAAAATACAACATATAATTAGATGATTCAATGAGAATTTATAATGTCATCAAGATTGATCCCGTTACTAGTTTCAATTATTTTTTTTTTAAAAAATGGTGACATCAGTAAGTTTATTAATGAATTCATTCACTAGTTAAAAATTCAGAATAATTTCATGTGTGAATGAAAACATGATTTATGTAACCGATTTAATGTAATTGAGAAAAAAATTTATTATTTTTTTTTATTGTGTTAAATATTTTCACACATACTAACAATGCACATGCTCATAACTTTCTTAATACAAGTTGAAATGAGCTTAATTTTTGAAAAAAATATATGATGGTTACATTTATAGTCCGATTTATAATACAAAAATCGATCATACTCTAGTTACAAAAAAGCTCTCTTGACACCCTTACTCAGAAGAAGAAAAAAAGAACTGTAAGTATATGTTGATGTTATTATTGTTTTATATATATATATATATATATATATATATATTTCTCCTCTTTTTTAACCAAAAAAAAAAAAAATTGATAATAATAAACTAAAAACAGACCCTAATTACCTTCTTTATTTCTTCTCTCGTCTTCCCTCTTCCTCGTATTTCTTTCCCGCGTTCCGAACACGGCGTCAAACTAGAAAGGGGTTTTGAATTCACACATATATGCAGAGTGTATAGCGTAGAAGGGGAGAGTAAACTTCAATTTCTCTGACAGTTCAAGAATACTGGAGATTTGCAGAGACTCATTTACAATATACAGTTTGATTGTTAGGTCAAAATATAGAAGCCAATGGAGGATCTCAAATCGGCTATGGACGACCAAATGAACCAAATGGCAGATCTCGTCGAGAGATTCACCGCCGAACTTCGCTCCGGACTACGACCAGCTTATGACAACTTCATTGGCTTCTTCCACGCCATCGACTGGAAGGTGCCCCCAACTCTCTCTCTCTCTCTCTAAAATCCCAAGTACCCAATAGGTTATATCTGAATTTTTCGCTATGCTGTGGTTTTTTTTTTATCCTTTCTGATGCTTAAACCAGTCAAATTGATTTTAATTTGATGAAATATTGTTGAATTCATATAATCTCAAGAGGGTTTTAATGAACTAAACCCTTTTGTTGTGTTCTTCATTGTGTTAATAAATTGCTAACTTAAGAAGTCGTCATTATGTTTGAGATGAGACAGTGAAATGTATATGATGCTGTTCCGATTCAGGTGGTTGTAGTGTTTTTACTTATTTAAATTAGGCTAAATATCTCACTTGATAGCATTAATATATATACATATATATATATATAGAAGTCAAATAAAAAGTGGAGTAATATATGGTCTTCTAAGATGGAGAATGGTGTGAAAGCTAGGATTGAGTTATGGTGTCGGTTAGGAGTTCAAATGTGAGTAGGTGAAGGTGCATACCATGTATTAGTTGAGATTTTCATGGAAAATGCACACTGGAAAAGGTTCAATTCAGATTTGAAAATTTGAAAGTTGAAGAATAGAATAGAAAAAGAAAATTGAGGAAATTCACTTAACAATGGTGGATGTGACAAGAATGACAGCTTAGTAATGTGGGTAAGAGTTAAGAGCGTTTATCTGACGTTTGTATGAGCTAAGAACCATTATAAATTAGTAGATACCAACTCTAACTAGGATTAGAGATTTTTCAGAAACTGATATATCAAAGAACGCCTATTGGCTGTGGCGCTGGCTTGCTATCCTAGAAGACACTCAGAGAGATGTTTTTAAGGCTGTAAATGGGTTGAGCAAATGGTTGCTCAAGCTCGCTTAAAAAATTTCAAGCTTAAAATTTATGATCAAGCTAGAGTTCGAGCAGTTTGGTTTTTTAGATGAATAAAAAGAGAAAATTGAGGAAATTCACTTAACAATGGTGGATGTGACAAGAATGACAGCTTAGTAATGAGGGTAAGAGGTAAGAGCGTTTATATGAGCTAAGAACCATTACAAATTAGCCGATTGGTACTAACTAGGATTAGAGATTTTTCAGAAACTGATATATCAAAGAACGCCTATTGGCTGTGGGGCTGGCTTGCTATCCTAGAAGACACTCAGAGTGATGTTTTTAAGGCTGTAAATGGGTTAAGCAAATGGTTGCTCAAGCTCGCTTAAAAAATTGCAAGCTTAAAATTTATGATTGAGCTAGAGTTCGAGCAGCTTGGTTTTTCAGATGATCAGGATCCTAGCTGCTTGTTATCTTATTAAGCTGATCTCAATGGATTTATGAGTTCCAATATGTGATTAAGCTTGCTCGTTTATCTCGCAAACTGACTTTCAAACAGGCTTCTAACTGTACCAATCACAAAGTAAGGTCATCGAGTTTGGTAATGCTTAGAATTATCAGATAATATAATTATGCCATTGAGCATTACATTAACAGGGAAGACTTATGATATTCAAATTGTTGACTAGAAGAAAATATTGTTATGGGATGGATTCTTAAAGACCTGCACGTCAACATGCTGCCTCAGTTCCACTGGTTAAGTGTGGTTGTTTCTGTTGGATGGTAGAGGAATTAGATTCCCGGATGGTTTCCTTCTGTGTAGGAAAATAGAGGTTAGAGGGCTTTCCCTCCTAGTTTCAGTTATGTTGGCTATTTGAGTCAGATTTATATTTAGTTTGTGAAGTTGTGGTTGATGTGGCCTTGAAGGTGTATTTTTGAATCTTTTTTTCTTTCTTTTGTTTTGTTTTTTTTTTTTTTTGGGGGGGGGGGTTTGTTGTTGGGGGTGGGGCGGGGGCTGGTTGGGTTAAAGCCTTGGGTAAAAAACAAAAACATTCTATTGCTTACCAGGAAAGTAAAAAACAAAAACATGCTGTGGGTCCTCACTACACTGTCTATCACATGTGAGACATTGAAGCACAAGAACACTATACATTTTCATCATTCTTTATGTTTCATATACATCAAAAAGAAACCAAACGAATTGATTTTAATATACATTATACACTAACTTGCTTGGAAATCAAATAATTGCAGTCGTGGAGGAGTGTAGTTGGCATTGTGGTCACCGATTGGTCATTGGTGGGTTCCGGTTCATGTTGCAGTGCTGCGTCTGCTGGTTCTGGTTTTTAAGAAACCTTGTTTATAGGCTTAAACTTTTAGTTATGAACATATATACTTCCATGAGATCATTGACGAGCTTGTTCACAAACTAACAAATCAAAACTGCGGACTGTATGAGATTGACTCGTTTAATAATCGAGCTTGTAAATTTTGTTCGAGACTTCGAGTTTGTTTCATTTACTAAATAAATGGACAAGCCAAGCCCAAGCTGTTCAAAAATAGCTCAGGTTGTTTGTAGTCCTACTCCTAACTGAGTTGCCCCAAAGGAAATCGACTTCTTCATTAGCTTCGAAAAGAATCCGTGAAAAGCTAGTCCAGTCAAATTGTCCATTATAGTCTATAGCACTCTATTAAAGTTTTTGGTATCTCTAGAGGCAAGAACCTTGGCTTATATCCATTCATATCATTTATAGCTCAATAGCTCAAGCTGTTCAAAAATAGCTCAGGTTGTTTGTAGTCCTACTCCTAACTGAGTTGCCCCAAAGGAAATCGACTTCTTCATTAGCTTTGAAAAGAATCCATGAAAAGCTAGTTCCAGTCAAATTGTCCATTCTAGTGTACAGCACTCTATTAAAGTATCTCTAGAGGCAAGAACCTTGCCTTAAAGCCATTAATATCATTTATAGCTCAATATTGGATAGCATTCGATTAGAGTTCCTTGTCCATTTTTATCTCTGATTTTTATTTCCTCTCCTTTCTGCAGGAACCTTGGTTAATATGCTTGATGCTGTTCCATATTGTGTTGCTAGTAGTAACTTTCATCTCGAGGAAGAACGTCAACTTTCAAATGTGCTTGTTCCTTCTTGCATGTGAGTTTATTATTTTCTTAATGGTCATATATAACTTACTTTTATCTGAAGCATGCTGCAGTGATGCATGTCAACTTCTCTGGAGTGTATTCGTTGTGGATAATTCTAATTGCATTACTAATAACTTTTGTTCAGTAAGGTCTGTTGTATTTCATCAGAGCTTTTCTTTTCCCTTTCTTCTCTTCTGTAAATGTTGGAAACTTATACTACTAATAAATAGTTGACCTCTAAAAACTAAGATTTCATAATTTAATAATGTTTATTGAGTAATATTTTTTTAGGAACTAACTTTATTCTATTATAATAATTGACTATTCTATTCTTAATTATTAATATTTTTTTGAATTAATCCTTCGATACTAGTAGTTAGTAGAATAGAAAAATGCAGATCTATGCTTGTATCTTTATTATGTAAAACTTACCTTCTGGAAAGAAAAAAAAAATGTATGTAAAACTTATTAGTGACATTAATTGATTAGTAATAAAGAAGGATACTAGTTTCTTTGTAATAAAGAAGGATATTAGTTTCTTTGTTATAACTAATATATATATATATTGTACCAAATTTTCCATCCCTCCGTAGCTATTTTTGCACTTTGCATATGCCTTTATATGGCGGCTGATATGGGGAGACCATACTGCACTACTCCAATATGTTCTTATATTACATTATGAATCTTAAGATTGTGCTCTCTCTTTGAAATAAAGAATATTAGTTAAATTGTAGCCGCTTTATTTGTTTTCATGTCGGGTCTTGCTGGTAGCCTGGTCCCTGATTCTAACTTAAGGCTTCGCCAGCTCTGCTGCAGTACCTTTATTGAGAATAGGAAAAACTCATTTACCCATTAATTGATACATTACTACTCCTAAAAACATTTTATATAGCTTTTGATATAATAAGCTCCAGACTAAGACAATGTTATGTTTGTGTTGTTGCTTTTAAGAAATTTCTTGCACTAAGTCCTTGTCTATCAGCCTTGAATTGTTCAACCTTTTATCAGCTTCTCATCCATCTAGCTGCTTGATTATCTAAATTTGTACTTCAGAAGATGCCAGGCTGGTGTCTTGTTGCCCGTTTGGCACTGCTGTTGGAGAGAAAACCGCTTTTATTTTGAAAATTCTGTTTTAGATGTGTTCTGGTAAATTTTTTTTTTTTTTTTTAAACGCTTTTTAGAATGAAGAATATTTATAAAAATGCTTTACATACTAAGTTATGAAACACTATTTGATCTTACAGAGACGGCACTTTTTTGACAGTTCTACATAAAAATGTGCTTATTATAAGCTACAGCAACGCCAAATGAGCCCTTAATGTTTTCTTGTGGGAGATATATCATCTTTTTCTTCTTGGAATATGCCTATATAGACTTCCTCACTGAATGTTGAAAATGATATAGTTTCAAGAATTCAATTGTTTCCTATATGTAGCTATGCCATCTCGTCCTTTAGCCTTCAAGGGGAACTACATAACCTTACACCTTTGTCAGTTATTAGTGAATTATGTCATGACTTGTGAGTTGAAAGTCAAGTGGAAAAAGTGAAGTCTTCGAATTTATGCGGAACTATCTCAAAGACTACTGCTATACTTTCTGTGCACAATAACATGCAAATTCATGCATGCAGGAATAATATTTGTTCTGAAAATTGTAGCTCATCCTGTACTGCTACTCTACGAGTAAATTTACTTGATTAGTAATGTGGTGCAGTATCTGGTGTATATCTCGCGGAGACGGTTAATAGACTTTTGGGTGACAACTGGAAAAGCTTTGCTGGCCAGAATTATTTCGACCCACATGGAGTATTTCTCTCTGTGCTCTGGTCTGGGCCTCTTCTCATCGTTGCAATCATAATCTTGGTGCGTTCATAATCACTTCAATTTTTTATGTTCCCTTTTTTGTATTGTTGCTTTCTCACCTGAGCACTCCATCGCCTTATTTTCTTTTGCAGGTGAATATCCTCTTTTCTTTATGCCAACTAATGGTTAGGTGGAAAAGGGCTGAGCTCAGACACCGTGCAAGACTTTCTCGTGACAAAGAGGAATGACTCTCTTCTGCTGAAGCTTTACCAAGGCACCTCTATATTTTAGTTTTGAAGGATGGCAATCCAATGCTGTGGTCTACTTTTTGACATGAAGCCTTCCATGGTCTCCTTATAGATAACTTCTAGTTTCGATATCTTTTTTGAGATTGAATGACACTGTTGTCTGCTGATCAACTGATATGAGCTTTCGCTCGAGCCTCGAACTGTTGCACACCTTAATGTTTCTCTATATGCTTTCTTCTCCTTCCTCGATTGGTTTAGAATTTTGGATTTTAACTTTAATGATTTCAGTTTTTGTAATTTGAAATCTTGGAATGGTAATGACATGGTGGTCATGTTATGTTTATCAATAAATTGAAGCATATGTTTTGCCCTTCGTATTTTGATCAAAGACAGCTCTTGACAGAAATCAAATGGTTGACAATTGAAGTAAATTTGGATCATGAATCCCAATTGGTTTAGAGCTGTTTCGGCACTCCCCCGGTCAACCAGATGCACTCTACTCTTAAAAGTAAAGTGACATAAGAGCAATTCCAATGGGCTGTTATTTGGGTAGTTATTTTCAAAATATAGCATGTGGATTTAAAATGGACTCTCCAATGACATGCCAAATGAGCTGCCAAAATATAACTTTGCCAAATGTTGTGTGAAATACAATACAACATATAATTATTGCCAAATTTGCTATTGCTCTCTGCCTTTTCTCCTCTCTCTCGCATGGGCTACCAATATAGTGTTGGGCTGCCAATTTGGTGTTGTGCTTGTGTATATATATATATATGTCCGTTGTACTTGTATATATATATATGTCAGTATTGTGTGTATATATATATATTTATATGTCAGCTGTACTTGTATATATATATATGTCAGTATTGTGTGTGTATATATCATAGATGTATGTGTCTGTTATATATATATATATATATATATATATATGTCAGTATTTTTATTTATTTATTTTTAATAAGGCAAATAAGCTAAATAAAATACAACCACTCAAAAAAAATGACCGTTGAAAATTGTAGTTGAGAATGATAGTTGAAAAATAATGATTGTTGTGTCAAAAAATATAATTTTGGATTAAATGCACTATCATAGCAGAATTGTTAAAGTATATCATTTTGACACTATGGTTTCTTTCAAAATATAGATTTGGCATGCAAAAATAGCATTTTACATTGGAGATGGTCTAAATGTCTCTAAGAGCAAGAGGTTTGATTAAATTTTTTTTTTTTTATTTCTAAAAAAAATATTCGTATGATTTTGCTTCTTTTATTTTTTATTTTTGTCAAAAAAAAAAATTTAGAAGTTTTCAAAACATGAGTGGTTGGAAAAATAGTTGATGAAGAAAACACAAAACAAACTTAAATATATAAATAATAAGAATAAAAAATGAATATCTCAGCTAGAACATGTTGTACCTAATTACGTCATTCCAATTGGTGATGTGGTTAGCCACAATTGTGGTGACCAACCTTGTATAACACTCTCTGGATGCGCTAACCATTAATAGAAAAATCAATAAATTATTAGATGGTTCAATTTATATATTTAATTGTGTGACAATTTGTGATTGACGTGATATGGTCATTTAATAATTTTTTAAGCTCATGTATTTTTTTTTTCTAATTGATACATTATTAAAATGAAATGTGAATTTTTTTTTTCTTTTTCTTATAACAATTATTTTAAAGTTTGGTAACTAAATTAGAAATTTTCACTTATTTTCCCCCATGATCTGTGTGACGGCGGTGAGGTTTTTACTAACAACAGACAACCAAACATCACACAAACATTATGGAGTTAAAATTGAAAATATCCGTTACGGCATAATTCTAACGGTCAGTTTTTTCAAATTTTTTCAAGATTCAATTCAAAAACCGAAGCCCTCCAATTTCATTTCAAGAACTTAACCATCCCCCCATTTCTTGAACCTCATCCACCTGTCTCTCTCTCTCTCTCTCTCTCTCTCACTCATGGCTGACGAGAAAGAACGCAAGTCATCTGATGAACCAGAGAAGAAAATCCCAGTATTCACTGTCCTAAAAAACAACACCATTCTCAAGAACATATTCGTCCTAGACAAACCACCTCTGATTTCCGGACCCAAATCTATTGAACACATAGAAAATGAGAACCAATCGGTTCAAGAAATCGAAGAAATATTGCTTGTGGGACGACACCCAGATTGCAACATCACGTTGGAGCACCCTAGCATCAGCAGATTCCATCTCCGAATCCTCTCGAAACCCTCTTCGCTGAAGCTCTCTGTGATCGATTTGTCGTCCGGTAACTGCTCAATCACACACACACACACACACACACACACACACATTTTTACGCATACATGGCTTGAATTTTGACGGGTTCTTGGTTTATTGATCGGTTGTTGTTTTAGTACACGGGACTTGGATTTCGGGGAAGAAAATCGAACCAGAGGTTCGAATGGAGCTGAACGAGGGCGATACAATGCGGCTCGGTGCCTCGAGTAGGGTATACAGGCTGCATTGGGTTCCTTTGAGCCGTGCCTACGATTTGGAGAACCCGTTTGTGCCGCCGTCAGATGCGTTGGTGCCGGTTGAAGAAATAGAAGAAACACATCAGGTGAGTTTCCATTCTTAGAATTACTAAGAAATGTAGAATGCCCACGAAATGTTTGTTGAAATGTTCTTGAATTCCTTTTGTTTTTCTTTATTTTTGATTTTATAGGATGAGAATTGCTTGCTTGCCGATGAATTTCCATTATTAGAATTAGCAAGAAATGCAGCATGCCCACGAAATGTTCTTGAATTCCTTTTGTTTTTCTTTATTTTTGATTTTATTATAGGATGAGAATTGCTTGTTTGCCGTTGAATTTCCATTGTTGGAATTAGCAAGAAATGTAGATTGCCCACGAATTTTTTGTTGAAATGTTCTTGATTTCCTTCTGTTTTTTCTTTATTTTTTGTTTTTTAGGATGATAATTGCTTGTTTGCTGAAAATGACCAAATCCAATCACTGGGTAATGATTTGGTACTGTGTTCGTTATTTTCTGATGAGAATTCCGAATTATCTCTGAAGAAAGCAATCCCATCGGCACCTCCGTTGCCCGAATATGTAAATTCTTCATTTTTTGATGAACAAGAAGTGGGTAAGAAGAGCCCATCAAGGGAAGAATCTGAAAAGAGTAGAACCTCTGACCTCTGGTCTGTTCAGCTTGGTTCAGAGTCTGTGATAGACGCTGAAAATGAACAAATGGAAGAAGAAAAAAATTGTAACCCACAAACTCATGTTGTCTCGGAAGTACTATCTGAAGGTAAAATGCTGGAGAGCCCTACTCGAAGCTTGGAGAGAGAATCAATCTTAGGAGAAAACTCAAAGCTTTCATATTCTGATGAAGAATTAGAAAACCAGTGGTCAGCAAAAGAAACCCATGAACAGAGCGGCGATTCGAGCCTCAACTATCAACCCCTCGCAACTGAATCTCTGAATGCATGTATTCCCAGGGGAATTGATATCTCAGCAACCGAAGATCAACAATTCAACAAAGAAAACCGGACCTCACAGTCTACCCTTGCCACAGGATTTTATGGGAGTGAAAATACTCAATTCTCCCCAGTAAGATCAGAGCAAAAATCCAACTCTCCAGTAAGCTTTGATTCTCCATCATCCAATGAACAAAAGGGCTATCCAGTTGGTGAAACACTTGAACAAAGTGAAATTCCAAGGCTCATGTCTGGAGCTCATGCGGCAGAGTCTCTGAACTCATCTTTGCCTGGTGGAGATGTGCTGTTAGAGATTGAAAATCAACAATTCCATGGAGGAAAGTGGACCACACAAGCTCCCTCTTCCACCAAAACGTCTCAAAGAGATGATCCAGAAAGTTCCCCAATAAGATCAGAGAAAAAGTCCAGCTTGCCTAGCATTTGGTCAAGAAGAGGTAAGCCTGCTAGTGTTCTTCATCTTCAAACTAGTAGGAGCAGAGGAGTTGATACTGATGCCAAAGTTGAACCACGTAAGGATCTTTTCTCTGATTTAGATGGGGATGAAGAAGAAACCTTTACTCCAGACAAGGAGTTGATACTGAGCAGAGGAGTTGATACTGATGCCAAAGTTGAACCACCTAAGGATCTTTTCTCTGATTTAGATGGGGATGAAGAAGAAACGTTTACTCCAGACAAGGAGTTGATACTGAGCAGAGGAGTTGATACTGATGCCAAAGTTGAATCACTGAATGACGAAAACATTGAAAACAAGTTTATATCCAAGGGTCTTTTCTCTGATTTAGATGGGGATGAAGAAGAAACCTTTACTCCAGACAAGGAGAACTTTACCCCAAATACACTTCTTCTGAAGTCGATGAAGAAGATGGGCAGGGCAGAAGAAATTAAGCATTCTAAGTCAAATAGATCATCCTCTTTTACGAAGATTGTTAATCCCAACATCCAACCAGAAGAAGAGACACTTTCCTTTTCAGAAAAAGAGAACCAGACACCAAAAATACTCCAAGAACGGAAATCAGTAAGGCCTGTCTCAAGAAATCGAGCAAAGTTGGAACCACAGATGGTGGTGAAGAGTAGAACAGAAAGGTTGCCGTTTCAACCCCTAGTGGGAAATTCTACTGGCAAGAGCAAGTTAGAAGCTTCAGTTCTTGGAGCCACTACGAGAAGTAGCAAATCCTTGAATTATGCTCAAATTGAAGAGAAGGTAAAATTCTAACTTTTGTACACGTCCCACAGAAAAAGACCGAAAAAATAAAATTCTAACTTTTGTTTCTGTAAGTTCTTCCTTAGGTTCTAACTAGGTTTTATACATATTCACATGAAATCCATTTGCAGAATAACACTACCAAAGTGGAGAAGAGGAAGTGGAACATAATAGTGGACACTACTTGTCTTCTAAACAAGGAGTCGAGGAAGGCGTTACAGCTTTTGCAAGGTCTCAAAGGGACTCAGCTGATCATTCCAAGAATTGGTAATGAACTTTAATTTGTGAATGAACTAATACTTGAATTTGTCAAACAAATATTGTATGTAAAGTCCTTTTTCTGACGAATATTGGTGATGCTCTTTAATTAGTCATAAGGGAATTGGATTGCATGAAGCGACGAGGCAGCCTGTTCAGAAGAACAACAGAGATTTCTTCAGTATTAGAATGGATTGAAGAGTGTATGGTGAATACAAAGTGGTGGATTCATGTTCAAAGCTCAGTAGAGGAAGGCAGGCCTGTTGCGCCAACCCCACCTGCTTCTCCTCTGTATCGATTCAGTGAGGGGAGTGTAGGTTTCCCTGATGGGGCACCAAGCACAATGCCATTTTCTGCCTATGGAAGTTTGCTGGAAATTGTAACACCAACAGCAGAAGATCATATCCTTGAATGTGCCCTCCTTTTTAGGAGAACTAAGAATGATGGACAGCTCGTCCTTCTTAGCAATGATGTCACTCTGAAGATCAAAGCCATGGCAGAAGTAAGAATACTATCGCCTGTTTCTATCTATCCAATTATAATGTGTGTGTAGGTGACAACCATGCATAACGCGAGTTTGTTTTTTGTTTGTTTCAGGGTTTGCTCTGTGAGACAGCAGAGGATTTTCGTGAGAGTCTGGTGAACCCATTCTCCGATAGGTTCTTGTGGGCCGACAGCTCTCCTAGAGGACCTACTTGGTCTTGCACGGACGATGTCATCTTGAGGGAGAGATATAGCCACTGGCCTTCGAAGAACCCACTGAGACCTGGAGATGGCGCAAAGGGTTTGAAGCTCATACTGCTACACAATTCACATTACAGAAAGTTCAGTTCAATTAACTAAACAATGTACCTGTAACTCAACAACTGCTAGTATTACCAGTTCTAAACCCTGTTTTGAAGAATGAATTGGAAATTTGTGTTCATATGGGTCGGTTGATACTATCAATTCGTTCTTGCAATCACACAGGTTTCTGTTAATTTGATCATATATGTTTGAACATTTTACATTTTTTGCTTTGTTTGCTTAGGGGGGGAGAGAGATTTTTGCTTTGTTTACTTTCAATTCGATCTTGCAATCACTCAGGTTTCGGTTCATTTGATCATATATGTATGAACAATTTACATGATGCTGCACATTTTCGTTGTGAACCATTTTCACCTCTCCCAGAATCACTGCAGCGTCTAGGCATGCATAAGCTTGTCAAGTAACCATCACAAGATGGCATTGTTTTATGTAAAAGACACAATAATTAGAGAAAAACACATTTATTTAAAGTCAATAAATTATAGGTACATGGAGTTGCATCCTACAAATACCAATGTCAGTGAGAAACAATTGAACCCGGGCACCCAGGTGCAAGCCATTTCACCATCACTATAGATCATTCGAACCTGACTCACCTCCATTTTTTCTAGGGTAATTGCAAGACCCAGAAATTAGAAAAGAGAACGAACTTTCTGAATCTTCAAATGGTGGTCGAGGGAATTCATGAAAGCCACTAAGATTATTCGTACCGAAGTTCAAAGGGGAGAAGAAACCAGTAGGATCATCAACACCCCCTTTCACGTCCACAGCATTCTGAATCTCACTTCCACTAAAAGCACTTGAGCCCAAGCTGAACCCTATATTTCCAACCTTATTCGTTGTTTCGTTGCTTTCTCCTTGATCCGATGGCCCAGCTGCTGCTGATCCTTTAGTGTCCTCGAGAGGAATGGCAGGAGTGTGACCTTGGAAGAGAGCAATATGTCCGAAAAGCTTGTCTTTTCTTGAGAAAGTTGTTCCACAGGAACAAAGCCATTTATCCCTACCGCAATGCTTCTCATGCGTTTTAAGATCTGCAATAACGGAGAATTTCTTGGTATTGCATCTACTGCAAGTATAGCTTTTGTCACAATGGGTTCGTTTGTAATGGTTTTTCACACATAAGATGGTCTTCAGAGGCTGAAACTTCTTATGATCTTTGTTCCGCTTGCAACCTGCATAAGGGCAGGAATACCTCTTGGTGGGCATTTGCTCTGAGCTCGCTTCCTTATTGGGTTTGGCAAGTGCAGCTGGAGTCTTGTACTCATCCCCATGTCCTCTCATGTGCATCCGTAAATTTGCATCTCTCTTGAAACCCTTCCCACATATCATGCAGAAGTGGGTGTGAGGTGCAAGGATTTCTTCTTTCTCTAGTTGCAAGATTTCATAGGAACCGGGTGGGAGGTTCTCTTCGTCAGCATCTTCTTCATCTTTCAATTCGTGTTCTTCAAGAGGGAAGCTTTCTTTCGTCCTGCAGTTACCCGTTATCTCAACCTGGTTGGACTGATCCGAAACCTTGCTTCCACTTTTGTTTTGGGGCAAATTACTACCATTCAAACCTGTCCCGGAAGGAAATATGACTCCACCAAGCTGCCCGAGCTGAGAGATAGGAGGATTCATCGAAGAGAGAGTATGCGTCACAGAGGGGAGAAGACTACCTGCAGTTGAGATCAGTTGAACAATAATTGAAGTGAGATCAGCCGTGATGAGTTGCTGTTGCTGAGCTACAAGCTCATCCGATGGACTGACAACTTGACCTCTCCGACCAACAATTACATGCACCAAATCCTGGAGTTGGTGGATCTTCTGTTCCAGGAAAGAGAGATTGTTCAGCATCATTCTCGGATCCCAATCTTGGATTCTACTACCGTCACGTGTCTCATTCATCTCACTATCTTGCTGATCCGGGATTTTGGTTTGATTATTTGAAGAATGGTTATCAAAAGGCTGCTTGAATTCAGGGAATTGTGGGTCAAAATCTAGAATAGAAGGAACTTCCCACTTCTGCTGATCTTGCTGCAAATTGAAGTTGGAGAAAGATTGGTAATCCAGAGGAACTTTTTTTGGCAATTCATTACCGGAGGAATAAGAATTTGTCCATGTATCTGCACTTAATTTCTCTTCAACATCCATTCTAGAATCCTCTTCCATAACTAAATGTCAAAAAGCTGCAATATTGCATGAAAATATATAAATATTCATCAAAAAATCATGTAGAGTCAATTTTGAAAAGAGGGTACAACACAAAAAGGCAATACAAATAAAAGATTCCTATGCAAATTGCATCAAAATTCAATTATTCCCCTGAAAGTAACACCAACCCCCAAGTGGAAATTAAAAAGGAGAGAGAAGAAGAAGAAGAAGAAAAAGACATAAAAAAAAAAAAAATCCCATGATGAGGCTAAAATTAATAAAATGATAAACTTCATTAATACAGTATACATAACACTTCTACTCTTTGTTTTTTACTAAGATTTTTTTTCTTAGTATCCAAATTTTTTTTTAACCAAAACAAACTAGGAGTTCACAACAATAATAATTTAAAATCAAACTTGTGATTCAAGAATTTACTTGTAAAAATTAAAAAAACCCCTAACTCAAAAATCATCAATCAAGCACTTTCTATCCCCAATCTACATAGAATCTTACATCACCCTACAAAATTAATCTTTATTCAATCTTTCATTAAGATGTCACAAGATCCCAAGCATCAAATTCATGATTGTCATTAGAGAATATGTCCAAACACACTTCAAAAATTAAAACCAAACCTTTTCTTAAAAAATAAAGAAAATACCCAATCTTTTTAGCTTATGTGACCTAATCTCACATTCAGAATTGCTGCAAGTATAAACTACTCCAGAATAAGAACATCATAAGATCCTACCATATCTCAAATACCCACAATCAGAAACTAACAAGTCAAGAGCTAACATGAACTGAAACTGAAATTTTAGCACAAGTAAAGAACCCTAAAAAAAGGAAAAAGTAGTTCACGAGAGAGAGAGAGAGACTCACCAGATTCAAGATTGCTCAGATGCAAGTTATTTTCCTTTCAATTGTGACTTCTTAATCTTATCCTTCAAACACTGTTGAATTGAATTGAAACTTATTTTCCAGACCCTATATATATATATATATATTGGCTGCTAGCATATATCCACAGAGAGAGAAATAAGTGTCTCTGAAAGGGGATGAAAAGGGGTAATTGGAGCTAGCTGAACCATTATATGGGCATCTCTAGTACCAAGGAAGATTAGTCTATTTGTAGTGGGACCATATATTGGGTCAACCCCATCAATCAGCACCGTTGCTTGGGGGGTCACTTTTCATCGGATTGGTAAACCCCATCAATTACCAACATTATTTGTGGGGCAACTTTTATCAAACTATTCTTCCGGAAACTTTTGTCAGACACCTTTTCGTATTCTAAGTAATGACTCAGCCATTCATAGTGTGCATAATGTCACGGAGTTGAACCTTTTTAATTGGTTCCGGGGTGTGACATTAAGCTAACAAGTTTAATTCTCTTTTAATTTCTTCTTAAGAGGTATTGTTATGTTCAAATCATGTTATTATTTGTTTGATCTGAACACATTATTATTTTTATTATCTCTGTATATGACTTATATTTTAAAATTATTTGATATTTTTACTCTTAGTCTTAGCTCCATGTGGACCTAGATTGTAGCTGTAATTCATTTTAAAACAAAATTATGTTTGATTTTAATATATATATATATATATATATATGAATGACTGATATTAATATTATATTGTTTTTTTATAAATATAATCTCTTGATTACTTTTCCCAGAAACAAGCAAAAATATAATTTTAAAATCTGAAATGATCAACTTGTGTGAGATTTGTCTAAATTTCAGTGGAGGTCAATATAATTTATCTTTTTTTATTATTATTATCTATTTGACATATAAAATAAAATTATAAAAAAAAAAACAAAACAAAAAAGCCCAAGGCAAATTTAGTTACCAAACAGACCCTGATGAGAAAGAAAGAAACCGATAAATTGTCATGACTCTTACTTTACGTAAACTTGATATTTTTATTTTAATAATATTTACTTGACACTATATACACTTTTCACATCAGTTGATTACCTTCAAGTTGTGTTAGAAATCAATTTCTTAACAAAAACTTGAATGACCCTGATTGGAGTAAGGTTTGGACCCACCCAGCTGGATTATTCTCTCATATTCCATATGTACAAAATAAATACTATATGTGTTTGACCCGTTTTTCATATTTAATACCAAAAATTATTTGATAATCTTATAGTTGAAATTAGTGTTCAAATTGTTTTGTAATATATTACTGTATTACACTTCTTTTGAGTTCACTTTTCTTAATCAACCAGTAAATTAAAGTAAAATAGCAACACGTTAATGATTTAGAATCATTTAATATTCTTTTACTAATTTAAGAAGAACAATAGAATAATTCTATAGGTATATATATCAAAATTTTAAAAATATTAAGATATAATACTAAATAAATAAACACATTGGATCCATGCCTATAAATACACACACACGCTAGATTAGTTTTGGATTATATGTCACTTTGTGATTCTACATAATTAATACTAACGTTGAAATTTATTTTTCGTACTACACTTATTTTGTGTTCATATTTTCTGAATCAGAAAGTCTGAATTGAATTGAATTAGCTTTATGTTGTAATACAATTTAATAATTTTTCAATCAATACTGATTGCAGCATTAAATAAATGTATGGAGACAGTGAAAGGGGGATGTACCAGGAAGTTCCTGGCAGGAACCAATGAAGATCACATACATATATATATTATGAGTAGAATAATATATATATATAGAGAGAGAGAGAGAGAGAGAGAGGAAGTGGAAAGTTAGGGGAAGCTACGCCGCCGACCCCGGAGGACCAAAGGAGTTGAAGTGTTTCTAGGAAAGCAGGTCAGCACAGACTCCCCGTGGGATTGGAGAGAAACAAGGAAAATTTGACAATCTCAGAGGTTGCTCTGCTCAACTGGGACCCACCCCTCTTGGCTCTCTTTGTTTGAACGCGCGCATGCACGGGTGGGTCTTAAGCATGTTGAATTTTGGACCACTTTAAGTTTATGGCAAATTGTTTTTAAATTTCTTCAGGGAACACTACTGGTTCGACATAGAAAGCGAGGGTCTCAATTTTCGGATAAGGATCACATCTTGCAAGTAATTTTTTTATTTTTTTTTATTTTTATAAAAAAAAGATATTTTAACATTTTTATAAGGTGCATTCTAACATTTTTTTTATTGCATCCTAATATTTTTTTATTATGCATCTTAAACATGGGTGACGTGATCATTTCTGAACCACTCATTTCAAAAGGGAATAAATGGCACACTATTTCACTGGAGATGATTTTCACTCCTCAATTTTCTTATATTTTGTGTATACCTCACTTATCTTGTGAATAAGTAGTGTTTGGGTGAAAAAATTATGTTCAACGCGTCAACTTAAGTAGCATGACTATTTTCTTTTTATATGGATAAAAACTATTTTACAAGCGCTTGAACTATCAATTTTCTACTTTAAATAACAAAAATATATCACAAATGCCTTATTTAGTACTCATAAAATATTACCATAGACCCCCTAAAAAAAATTATTATTCCTAACAACCCTCACCTTATTTTCTGGATCGCCCACCATCGTGGTTATAATTGATTTGTGTTATTTAACCTTTCTATCTCATATATAGTTTGAATTTCTTTGTTTTGTTTTTATATATTTGAGATTGGCTCACGATGTCTGCATTCCAAAGTTGAAAGATTAGTTCATAGGCCAAAAAAATAAATAAAAATTTAATAGTAAATGCACACCACTTTTTATGTAAAATTATATGCACTCTACATTGTTCGAATGTCCTATTGATTTTTCAATAGCCGGTCGTATCATCCTATTTTTTTTCTAATTTGCATAAACTAATGCAAATTAGAAAAATATGAAAAAGAAGATGGATTATGTCATGTTTGTCGACGAGGATGATAAATGTTGCCATTGGAGCGGGAAAGTAAAACTGTTTGTTTGATGGATAAAAGTGAAATCCATGTTTTAATATTAGTAATGTAGTTATGCATTTTGAGAAGAGAGTACAAAATATTGCATTTTCGGATGCACAAAAAAATAAAATAAATGTACCTAGGAAGAGAGAGCACCAAACTTTTTATCAAGAAGTGAGAAATTTTGTAATGAAATTTAATGTACATTCTACTTTTTAAAATTCCTTCTTATTTTTTATAACCTATATTAAAGTTGAAATATTCAAATAAATAAGAGTAAGGTAAAATTAGAAAATTTATTTTATGATCCCATTCCTGACCAATTAAGTTGACATGTTTACTTGCATATTAAGTTATGATTAAGGAAAATGATTCTTGCACCAAATAGTTACAGTACCTATTCTTTTAATTAGTCTATGCAACAAATTAGGAAGTAGAGCCCTTCACTTAATTGTATTTGATATAAATAATCAATTAAAAATTATTCAGTTAGGTAATTCACTGCAAGTGTTCGGTGTGAGTATCACCACTCTATTATTAATTTAAACCATATAGTACTGAATGATATAATTTTTTATTATTATTATTTATAAAATTACCCTTGATATATGCATATAATCCCTTTTTGTTTTGAAAACACCCCTGTTTATTCATTTTTAGTGCAAACAAGGGCTTGACATTAGTTTGTTGTTAAAAGAACTTTGAAAAAACTTGAATAACCCTTCTAATGGCTGAAAAAAAAAATGAAAGGCAAAAAAGAGAAGCCATACGACATCGTTTGGCTTGCTCTCCAAGCCCAAAGCAAAGCTGGTGGCCCCCATCGGCCACTTCAGGAGTTCCCCCGTCGACGCTGACTTCTTCGAAAATCTGGACTGTGCATCCACCGCAGACGGCGGCGAGTCTGAGAGATTTGGCGCGAAGCCAACCGCGGTGCGGAGGAGCTGACAATCTTAAGGTTGGTACCCAAAAAAACAAAAAAATAAAAAATTGATGCATACAAGCTGTTCGATTGAATGCCTAAGCGGACATCTTTTTGCTCTTCAGGAATTATATGTAGATCATCAATCATAAGGCTGTATGATGGGGGTGTAGAGAAATACTGAAGATTCAAAAGTCTAGGAGATTGGCAGGGGTGGCTCCAGCCTTGGGTAATGTTTTCAAATTGAACAATAATTTTAAAGAATTTATCTCTTAAAATAACTCTTCTTTTTCATTTCTTTTTTTTTTTTTTTTTTTTTTTCCTTCTCTTATCCATTCATGCCTTTTCATTTAAGGGGGAAATTATTTATCTCCTAAAATATCTAATTTTTTTTTTACAATTTCTCTCCCCTCCTCATTCACGGTTGTTTAGTAAACCAAACCCCACACACTTAATATGTATTTATATTCTTAAATAACATATTTTTTCTTTGTCAATCTTATACATTTTTTTTTATACACATTATTTTTGACACCAGCGCTATATATATTTTTTCGATAAATTGCACCAGAATAAATATTTAGCGATCGTATTGGTAAGTGAAGAAACATTCCATATTCTTTCTTTTTTTATAGATTTTATTTTATTTATTTATTCTTATTTTTAATCCTCACGTTCATTCTTTTTTCTCAGCAAACTCTACAAATTACAAGTCATCTCCCTTTTCAGTCGTCTCTTATTACAACTTTATAATTTTCTTTCTTCTCGACTCAATATTCATAGGTCTCAAATCTCAATTTCAACGCATTTTTCTTTTATTGAAAAATTTGAAACAACATTAAATTGGAACTTTATAAATCAGGTTATATTATTTTTTTTCTTTAATTATTTTTTAGTTTTATTATCTCTTGTTATTATAAATTTGTATATATTTATATTTTTTATATATTTATACATTTGTTCGTGAATTGTGAATGTTGTGACTATTTTTATTTATATTTTTTAAGGCAAAGAGGAGATTTTTATTTGATTATTATTTAATAATTAATATATTGCAAGCCTCCAAAGAATTACATCGAGCCGCCCCTGAAGATTGGTGTCGTATGCTGTATTCTATTCCTTCGTTCACTGTCTTGAGCTACGTACGGTTACACAAGCAATACGTGAGTCTCATCATATCACTTAAATGGCATGTAAAATCGTTAAATCTATATGGATTTTAACCATTTTTTGATATGGGTCTTTCAGG